TTCTGTTGAATAAATATATATAAAGTCTTATGTCATTCTATTTATTGTGTTTTATTACGACCGATATTCCATCAACGTTTCCAATTATATATATGTGAAATGAATGGGTACGTATTCTTTAATCCTTATTTTATTTACATTGTGTAAAATAATGCGATATTACATCTACATCTACGGTTAATATATATTTCATTATATGGAGGAGGGGGTCGTTTAAAATTTCCTAAGCTTGAAGGTCGTTATATAAAAAAGTTTAAGAAGTCCTGCTAGAGAGAATAGATTTTGCCAAAAAATCTGTTTTCTATTGAACGATTTGCTAGTTTTACGAAACTTTTAAACCTTCTATCCTCTTTTCGAATTTAGGATCGATTACAAAATTTATTAAATCACCATAAAATCAAATAAGTAAATGTCTTCTTATATTAAATAAGTAAATGTCTGTTTAAACGATTTAATTAAACCTGTAATTTCATCAATTTGATATGACCTCTGTTAACTATTTTTTTATCCTTAAATTATGCAATAATAGTGACATATTAATATTTTTTTGTAAATATGAAAGTTTTTTGTGTAGTATATGCAAAATAATTGAACTAATTGAGATTTATATTAGAAACTGCAAAGATATTTGACATTTTCCTTTCAGAGTATTTTTATAGAAGGAGCAATTTTTTAATGGAGCTGCTCAATTTTATTCTTTTAACTAAGAAGATCAGAAAATATTATATACTTCGTGCTCTTTATAGTCTATTAAAAGTTGTTTTGCGTTATAAAGGTATCATATGCATGTATATTCACTATAGTTTCATTCCTATATTAACATAAATATTTCTTTACATATTTTATTTCTATTTTTTTGATTTTTCTAAACTTAATACGGTAATTATTTTAAACTTGTCATAATAATAATTTAAAAGACAAAGATAAGCGTATCACCCCAACTGTTCTCAACAGATTCACATGCGTATCCACCACACTCATGTGAAGTGAAATTCTTACTAATAAATCTCACTTTGTTCAATCATTTAAACAACAATATCCTTCGGAATGCATAATACTCATAATTACTACAAAATTTAAATTGATACTACATGTAAGTACGTAAAGCATATTCAAAGGCATTCCAAATTTTTAATACAATGACAATAAAAATATCACAAACAAATTTATTAAATGAATTATTGAGAAATCAAAATTTTGCATAACAACCATATCAATCAGCGCGCTACTATGTTGTGCACTGAATTACTTATTTCATGTTATTGAAATCGCATTTTTATTATAATACAAGCTAATAATTAGATATCAAAATTACAATCACATACAAAAGTATATCTATATATATGTATATATATATATACATATATAAAGAGAAACTTTAGTCTAATTTATCTTCAATATAAAAGTATTGCTCGAATATCATTGAAAATAACCATTTTAAGTCAAATAATGCATGAACTAGGTGATTTTTTTTATGGATTTTGTAGTTAATTATATGTAATGGCCTTACTAATAGAGTTTATTGACCAATATTCTATCATTTTATTCAAGCCTGTGTTTATACATATATGTTCGAGTATGATTATTATTTTATATATTGAGAATAATAATATAACAAATAGTTTTTACTCACAATTTGTGTTTTAATTATACACATACATATAAGTTCCAATATAAAATCTATTTGTAGATATTACATTAAGTGTAAATAAATTACTTTGTGTATTTTTTAACAAGAACAAAAAAAATTCTATATTTTCAAAAAATTGTTTCACAAAAGAATGAAAAACTTTGCTTAAACTAAAATTACAGGATAATAAATTGCGAATTAAAAATTGAAAAATTTGTAGAAACACAGTTTTTTCTATTTTACTAGTTCCAGCATATAACTGTACTAGAATGCATTGGAACCAGCATTCATGGTGATAAAAATGCCAAAACAATTTTAATTAAAATTGATGAGAAAATCCTTAAGTGGTCCTTTAATATAGGTAAATGTAGTTGTTAAAATATTTTTGAACGTTTTTAAAGATTAAGAAAAATTTGTTTGGTTAAGCTTGTCAAAATTGTTGATTAGAATATAAACATTGAACTTTTTTTTGCCATAATAATAGTATTAAATTTATTTTTTTGAAAAATATGTTATTAAGAGAAATAGTGGCATAATTATGTATTATGTACTTTATTTTTCATATGCAAGTGTAATAAATATTTGTTAGTTATATTCTAAAAACATATAGGTTTAACTCGTTTTAAATAATTGAATTTTGTTCAATACTTATACAATTAAAACTAAAATGACTTAGATAGTTAAGTTTGAAGGTTATATCAAGTTAATAGTCACAACCCTATAGTAAATTTTATAAAATAAAAACCAAACTTGGCATAAGTATGTTTATGACCTTTTTTTTATTGTTGTTTCACTTAATATACCAAGTTGCACATTGCAAAATTTAATATTGTATGTATGTATATATACACATATATACTTTAATTTGTGGTACTATCAGAATATCAAATAATATTTGTTTTTTTGTATTTCACGAAAATATTTATATGAAACACTTATTAAATTAAATAATACATACATATTTATATATGTATACAACGACACTATAATCCACAGGTGATTTTATTTATGAATTAAAAATAAAAATTTTTATGTATGGATGTATGTATGTATCAACTAACTATATGCATATAAAATGGTATATTTTTTTTTTGGTGCGAAAGAGCTTGTGATTACGATTTTCTCAAGGTGACCACGTACAAAAAAACAATTCGATGCATTTATTCATAATATATATATATTATAATTAATATGGTATATATAAATTGTATAAAAATATTACAATTATATATGCATATTTGTACATAATATCTGATAAAACATTTATAATCGAATTGTAAACTCGATTTTACTGTTTAATTATTAATACACTGATTGTAAGCAGAAATAAGTTTTAAGTTATCAATTAAAATGTATAAGAAGTGACAATTACTTAAATTTAATAGTAAAATGAAATCCTAAATTTATATTATTATTAATGTATTCTGTGTATGTACGCATGTACATATTGCAATTTGTCAAATACTGTAAAGTAGGACGCGCGTTTGTAAATACAAATGTATACCCATATACTTAATATTATATATATCTATAAATTATTGCAATAAAAAATTAAAATTTTAAAATTTTATATTAATACAAATTTATGAAAATTTTATAGTTTTTTTCTGGTTTTATAAAATAATTAAATTTTTCTTTTTGTAAATCAAAATTATAATCGTTGGTTTTGTGCGCCTAACTCAGATAATATTCGGTAATAACGAATTGTTTCTTTAATTTCAATACAAGGTAAAATATAAGATTTACAACAATTTAAAATAACAAATAAGATTAATGTTTTAAAAAATCAAGTAAAAATTAAAAAAATTATATTTTAAAAATTTTAAATACTTTGAAACATTAAGGCTGTAGCTTTTCCCGAAATTTTTTTAGTTCGCACTGTTTATCAATATATCGGAATTTTCGAAAAAAATAGTGCGGGAAACTAAATTTTAATGTGAAGTACAATACGTTCCCATACACTCAAAATCTAAAAATTTTTAATAAAATTTAGTTTTTGTTAAAATGGTTCAATAAAGTTTAAATTTGATGTTTAAAAAGTTTAAATTTGTAATTTGTTGTTTAATTTATTTTATTTAAAACGAATTTTATTTTTCTAAAATTTTTTACTAAATTTCTTGATTAATTATTTTTCTATTTTATTATTTATAAACTCAAATTATCGAATATAATATACTAACATTCCTAACAAGAAAGTTATTTATCAATCTAAAAAAAATAATCGACATTATAATGTTCACGCAGCCTCCTGTTCATCGCATTTGTAAATAGGTACATAACATAAAAAAGATATATTCTCACTTTCACTAACTTCAGATAAAATTCAGCAAATTAATAAAAGATTATACATAACTATTTTGAAATGAAAACATTGTAGCTATTAACCATTTAAAAAAAAATAACTAAAATTTTATCTTACTTGAAAATATCAATAATATATTTTAAATAAAAATTTACGATATGTAAAAATTTTGCTCATGAACAATTACTTGTCGAATTAATTAAAAAATATTAAAGGGAAAAGCACCTTAAATGAACCATTTTGAAAAATAATCAAATTTGACTGTTGAAGTTATTATGTACATTTGCAAAAATAAACTTTTTACTAACAAATTAAACGAAATTTTGTACAAAATAAAAACAATTTTATTCAATATAAGTAAACTAAATAACTTTTAAGGATCGCTTTGTGAAAAAGAATTAAAAAAAAAAATAAACTTTTTTATTTTAAAAAAATATTCAATTTTTTTTTCGTTATACTCTTAATTTTTTACAAAAATGCGCCTTAAAATTTCAAGTCAAATATTTTTAAAAATCAAATACATGTTTTTATCAAACTTATGGATTTTATTTTGTAAAAATTCATTTTACGTATAAACTTTGATTTTGTAAATTTAATTAACGTGAAATTTTAGCATTTTTTTGGTAAAGGACAAGTAAGTAAGTATACGAGTAGAATTTTCACAACGTTCAATGTTTATTTGAAAAAAAACCTATAAAATTCCATTCGAATTAATAAAAATCTTTTACATAGTCTCGATTTTTACCAAAAAATTCGTATAACTTTATTAGTGTTTTAGATTTTTGAATTGGTATTTTTAACGTCTGTGAAATTATTTGCAATCTTTTATATAATAGGTATTCGACATTAATACAACTACACAATTACTATATAGCTAATGTGAGCATTATTATTTTTTAATTTCTTTCTTAAATTATAATTACACGTTTTCACAGAAATCATAGTCATAATATAATAATTATATACTAATGTACATACATACATATATTTAAATATTATATTAACATGTATATATACTAATTTATAATTTTTTTTTTATATATAAAGTTTTAAATTAATAAATCTTACCTTTTTTTTTCTGTTTTGTTTTTATGTTGTTGTTTTTAATCCTTATGAATATTTATATATGAATATATGAAATAAAATTTTTATAAAATATAAAAATTCTCGTTTAGCTTTCTTTTTTTTTTTAATTTTAAAGAATTCAATTAAATAATTTCATTAATTTATATTACAAATATATGTTTATATCTATGGTTTATAACAAAAAAATTAGGTATATATATATATATATATATATATATATATATATATATATATCTATATATAGGTATATTCTGTAAACTAATATTATATTGTGTATATAACGCGTTGATATTTTAATCAAAAAGTTAAGAGCACCTTTTAAAAAAATTAATTATAAAAAACGAGATGACAAATTTTTCTTATTTTTTTTCTATTATCGAAAATTTTTTCAAGATCAATCTAGACTGTTTTCCAAAGAACATTTATTGTAATTGTTACAGAAAGAGAAAAAAAAGGATGATTTTTCTTTCTATTTTTTAAAGATTGTTATATGCCCGTCTATTTATTTATGTGTATACATTTACATGAGAAACCATGGCTGTATTTTAATATTAATTTAATCAAATCAAAAATGCTTAATGCATTAATGTACAGAAGAAGAGCCTAGACGTACGTTGCATCGAAAAAAATTTTTTGTGAACTTTTTGTTCTTTCTTTATAACATTTTATCTTATGTTATTATGAGTTTTTATTTCATGATATTATCCACCTATGTATGTAATTAAATTTTTAATTATTTTTAAAAAAAATATAAATTTTTTAGTTGATATTTAATTTAGTTGAAATCGAAAATTTTAAGAAAAAATATTCGTAAAGTTTTTAATATAAAATTAAAATTCAATTAAATTTGTCGGCAAAAGAAAATTAAACGTTTACAAGGATCTTTTTTTTTAAAACAAATACCTAGACTTTTATAATTTAAAATAACACTGTTATAATATTTTAGTTACACAAAATGTTATATTAATTGTTTTATAATTTTAGTTAATAATTTTTAATTTTTTTTTCTTTTTCTTGGTTCTAGATTTAAAACAACTGTAATTTAAATTTAATTTAATAAATGATGTAGCTATGTGGATGAAGTGTTGAGTAATTTCTACATATTTATATTTATATTTCACGGAATGTACTCATATATTTTGTTGAATAATAATTAGTATAACTTTATTTATTTTATATACAAACTTTTCAAGATATATATATTAAATTATTTTCCTTTTATTTATTATTATAATTGTTTTTTAACGATCAATATTCACACTACAAAAAATAAAAAAATAACTATTGTACGTTTTAGTATATAATTTAAAAAGAATATTTTGTATATACCGTAAATATTGTTATATGATTTCCATGTTGAATTTACAGTTAATCAATAATAAATTAATGTCGTTTTTACTGTTATCGTCTAGAAAATGCTCTATGTACAATAATATTTTATTTTATTCTGATCTTATTTTCTTTTCTCCGGAATAATTATGATTTTTATAACACTTTTCCTGTTTGAAATGCATTTGTTATACATATATACATATGTATATATGTATATAAGCGTATACACTTCCTGTAAGGTATATAAAATATACACAGGAGGTTATATTAAAATAATATCTTTTACGAGTATATGTACATTAATTAATTTTTGAATTTCTTTTGATTCAGAGAATATCTTTTACCTTCTTTCTTTAACTCTAATTAATACATAAAAGTATCAAAAAATTAGACAAAAAAATCAATCACCTGTCCGTATGAAGTATGAATTAGAGTACTAAACGATCGAACAGTCGGCTTAAAACTACCAAATAAATTTATGATTATAGCAAACCAAAAACAAAAAAAAAATTTTTTCCTGTTTTTTTTTTTTTTGTGAGATACTCTTAAGAAAAACTATAATAAAGCATAAGTATAAACAAATACTAAGAAACGTACAATGTATTTAAAAACAAAACTACTATTATTATAGTTGACTGAAAAATGCAATATACATACAGACATACATATATTATAAATGAAGTAAAAGAAAAATATAAAATTTCGAAATCGTATATAAAAAGTGTGTATAACAGAAATAATAGTATGAATAAGCTCAGCTTGAAACATAATTCTGTTGCTTTGTAGTAGAAGCAATAAGAAGCGACAAGAAAAATATTGTTGACAAGTAGCATTCATAACGGGTAATGTAACGTGCAAAAGAAAGAAATTAAAATGGTATTAATTATTGTAAATAAAAAGCAATCTTAATGTAAATGAATTTAACATTCAACAATAAATTCTTCTTTAAAAAGATTTTGTATTTTTTATTAATATTATAAAGTTAGAAGTAAATTTTGTATATACAAAACAAAATAGTGTAAATAGAAGAACTTTGTAAAAAAATAAATATATGTATGTGTAAAATAAACATTTACTTATTTTAAATTAATCTAAATAATTTTGTATTAATGCTAAGATACTTAACATTTTTATCATTTTTAAGAGTAATTAATTTTTACTTCAATTTATAAAGGGAAGCACCGGGAATGATCCATATAGGCATTGTCATGTAAGTGTAACGCCTCATAAGTACAGCGAAAAAAGGTACCTTCTATAGCTAGGTATGTACATATGCATATAATTTCCTTTTCAAATAATTTAGGCTTTAGTAAAATCCCTAAGTATATAACAACTTCTTAATAATTTTAAACATTTATTATGAAAATTAAGTACAAAAATACAAAAAAAAAATATTACAATTACGATTATAAAGCATTTTATTTTCTTAACTTGAATAAGCATAATATTCTCAGTCGAAAAGGTTTAACGAGCTTGTACATTTTTGTGTTTATAAGAAAAAAATTTACTAAAGTTTATCAAGAAGAAGCCAATCCTGGCCATAATTCAAACTAGTAGAATAGAAGTACTTTCAAACTTGAAAAGAAATTTTTTATTTCATATAACGTAAATAAATTGCTCAAGAAAATTGAAATTTTCTTTTCTGAAAGTATTACTCAGTTTCAAAGAACATAATATTATTCTAGATGACCGTAATCACAGTTAAAAATTAATTTTCTTAATTTTTTGATTAATCTTAATTTCCTTATAGAAATAGAAATAGGAATTTAGGTATTTATTTTTGAAAGAAATTATGAGATTTAAAATTAAAAAAATAAATAAAATCAGTAAAAAACTAAAAATTCTAATATTATTTTCTAATAAAAGTCCAAATTTTCTTGAATTCACTTTTAAAAAAATCTGATGTGGTCAGCACATAACCGACCGCATTGTATATTGTCTAGTTGAGTGAAAGTGTTACAGAATATTAAAAAAATGTCTGTTAAGTACTTCTTTCCAATTCTAAGGACATTTGCAAGCTTATAGTTAACATATCTAGAAAAATGTAAATTTGGCTCTTAGTACAGTTTCGTTTTGTGCTATCCGAATTCCCTGAAATGCCCACCAGTTTTGGTAATGTCCAGAACTCAAATATCAAATTTAATGAAATCCCATCAATTCGTTCCGTAGATATGGTGAAAAATGTAAAATCGGCCCGCAAATCAGTTTTCGAGCCCTGATGTTTCCAAAAAATTTATATGTTCATTGTTTTAATACGAGAAATTCATATATTAAATTTGAATGAAATCGGTTGATTATTTCTCTTTATATTCACAAAAATGTATATTTGACCCGTAGTAAAAGTCTAGTTGCCGATGCCTGATCTTTCCAAAAAATTTACATGTTCATTGCTTTAATACGAGCAATTCAAATATTAAATTTCAATGAAATCGGTTGGTTTTTTCTCTTTTTATACACAAAAATGAATATTTGGCCCGTAGCAAACGCCTAGTTGCCGATGCCTGATTTCTTTCAAAACATAGGAATTTTCGCGGACGATCGAACAAAGCTAATATATGAAATTTCAAGTAAATCGGTTGAATACTTTCTTCAAAATGTTCAAAAATGTGAAACAAGCCCGCTAAAAAGCGCAGTTCCCGAGGCCTGATATATCCCAAAAGTTGATCAATCTTTGCCATGGTGGAAATAGACTTACATATAAAATTCATCAAAATCGGTTCAGCAGAACTTGAGATACACGCGTGCACACACAGACCGACAGACCGACAGACCGACAGACCGACAGACCGACAGACCGACGGACCGACAGGTTGCTAAAAATAGTTTACTTACACTTCCCTACTATGGAGAAGTGCATTCCCACCGAAAACTCGATATGCAAAATTTGTTGCCATCACATCACCTACCTATTGTTTACACAATACGGTCGGTAAAAATAAATATACGAATACACGTGCAAAAGAAATTTGACAAGGTACTTTTGAATTTTTCTTCAGCTGAATACTATATTTAAAAAAATAATACAAATGATAAATGTTCAGAATTTATTTGATGTGTTATGTTCAGAATTTATTTGATGTTATGTTTGCAACGTTGTTAACACTGAAATATTTGTCAAATTGTGTATCCAAAATTTTATCAGTTTTAAGTAGAAATTTTTAATTTAAAATTAATTGAAATTCTCTTATTAAAGTAAACAATGGAATGGAATAATACAATGCATCAAAATTTTTATGTTTTCAAATGTAAAATAATACAAAATTGAAATTTAATTTTTTTTCGACTTTGACATAATCGTACAACTTTTATTTGATGATTCCGAACGTCCGTATTTTAATACGAGTACTTAAAAAATTATAAAATTATGCGATTACTAAAAAATTTTATTTATTATTAAAATTCATTTAGTATGAAAGACGTATAAGAATTTTCGCCTCTTTAATTAATGAATTAAGTTCTTAAAGAAGCGTTTTCTAATTGCAACAGAATTTTTCGTTTTATTGAAACCGGATACAACATTAGATTGTGCAAGATATCTATAATTGAATCATATCTATGGTATTGTATATGATGCAATAGTGGTTTATTAATATTTAAAATAAAAAAAAATTTATAAATTTTACAAGTGAAATCATTAATGCAAAATATTAGAGATTTTGAGACACATTGTTTGCATTATTAACGGCAATTAAAATTTTGAACATGCTTACAAACATATATCTATACATATGTATATACAATTACAAACGAATATCTTCTTCGCCAAACATGTGTGCCAACTCAAGCGGACGTTAGATTTTGCCAAAAAACTTTAATATGACATTAGAAATTTAAAACGTCCAGTACCATTATACACTGAGCGAAAAAATGCATTTTAGAATTAATTACGAACGTATTTGAAATAAAAATGTGGCATTATAAAACATCTTTTAAAACTTTTCACGAAACATTTTTAAATCAAAAATGAACATTTTCATTATAAAGTTGAAATATTTTAATTTCAAAGTAGCATTTTCAAATCGAAAATGCAAACTTTGAAATAAAAATGTCATTTTTGATTTTAGATTGTTCCAATTTTAAATTAAAAATGAAGCTATTTGAATCTAAATTTTTTATATTTGGTATACCTTCAAAATAAGAAACAATTTGTTCCTTTTCAATATAAAGTCGAACGTTTTTGATATTAAGTTGAACGTTTTTGAATTTAATTTGAATGTTTTTGAAATAAAGTTGAGCGTTTTTAGATTAAAATTGAAACATTTTGAAATTATATTGTTTTGAAATATAGTTTTCTTTTCCAAATGAAAAAACGGAAAGTAATCTAATGTCACAATAAAAAATTAACAATTTTGTAATTTTATTATTAATACCAACAGGATTACTACTTTAAAAGGGAAAAGCAATCCCAATGGAAAATTGTACAGCCCCAGATCAAAGAGACCTAAATGCTATATCTGAATCTACCACAAATATAGGTAAAATATTATTTAAATTAGACATCAATTTTTATAACGTAAAAAATTAATGTCATACTAGCTGGCATAATATGCAAATTTAAAATGATTATTTAATTAAATTTTTGCCAACATTTTTTTTACTTATTTTTAGATGCTTTGATTCAAAGTAGTTTTTCATTGAAAATTTAGCAATTTAGAATCAAAGTTGTTCGTTTTTAAATTAAAACAAGTAAAAACGTTTCACTCGGTATAAACCGATTGAATTATACCCTGCATCTTTCGTTATTGTATAGCAATTACTCGAACCTTTGAAATCAGTCTATAGAAACTTCACGGATATGTCTGACCTATAATTAGACATCCGACTACCAAGTTTCATGAATCTGACTTTATAATTTTTCCAAATATTTAAAATTAGCATTTGGAGTTTTATGGCACGTACCTGAACCTGTCAAGCAATTCCATCAAAACTTCACAAATATATCTGATCTATAATCGGACACACAACTGCCAAGTTTCATGAATCTGACTTTATTATTTTTCCAAATATTAAGAATAAGCTTTTAGACTTGTATGGGAGCTACTCAAACCTGTCAAGCAATTCCACCAAAACTTCAGAAATATATCTGATCTATAATCGGACACACAACTGCCGAGTTTCATGAATCTGACTTTATTATTTTTCCAATTATTAAGAATAAGCTTTTTGACTTGTATGGGAGCTACTCGAACCTGTCAAGCAATCCCACCAAAACTTTAGAAATATATTAGACCTATAATTGGAAACATGACTGCCAAGTTTCATGAATCTGACTTTATTATTTTTCCAAATATTTAAAATTAGCTTCTGGAGTTGTATGGCAGGTACCGGAACCTGTCAAGCAATTCCTCTAAAACTTCAGAAATATATTTGATCTATAATTGGATACATGACTGCCAAGTTTCATGAATCTGACTTTATTATTCTTCCGAATATAAAAAATTTGCTCTTGAAGTTGTATGGCAGCCACCCGAACCGGTGCAGCTATCCCATTATAATTTTTAGAGCATGTGTAGAATATAATTGGACACATGTATACAAAATTTTATATTTATAGTTTATTAGTTTTTGAAATATTTAAAATAAACACTTTGAGTTGTATGGCAGCTACCCGAACCCGTTGTCCGAATTAGTCCAATAACAACAGGGCTCGTCCTTGGCACAAAAGAAAAAACTTGTGAAAGTTTGGTGTCGATTGCCTTATTCGTTTTTGAGTTATCGTGCGATCGGACGGACGGATGGGCGGACGGACGGACGGACAGACGGACATGTCTAAATCGACGCAGAATTTTACGCTGAGCAAGAATATATATATATGTCCATACCGCAGATGACTCCTTCAAGTAGTTACAAACTCCATACCAAAGTTAATATACCCTTCACGAAGTGCAGGGTATAAAAAACGCGTTTACTCGGAAATTATATTGATTTCACTTTGATTCAAAGTTGTTTTTTTTTAATTTAGGTTGTTTTTTTGCTCAGTGTACCAATTAAAAATTCCAAAGAAACTATGCCACTTTTATTTTTTTTTAACTACAGAGTATATATTGTGAATTTATTCAGCGTGTGGCTCCAAAATACCAGAATTAGGATTTCTTTACAAGAGCTCATCATCTATACAAGGTGATTCAGTAATGAGCGCAATATTATATACCATCGTTTAGACATAATCTTTGTGTTTTTAGCGATAATCTAAAGTGGGTTATCTTTGTGTTCAAAAGTAAGTGTCAAATTTCAACGATTTTCATGATACAAAGATTTTAAGAACATATTATTAAATTTTTCTTGCATACGTATTTTTGATTACAATGCAAAACAGGTAGGAGCTTCAAAGAACTAATGGATTAAAATCAATGGACGAAGTTACAAGCAAAATCTCCTGGTCCTGTACTAATTATGAAATTGTCCTGAATATAAGTAGATATATACATACATTACTAAATGTACCTTAAAACTGTTATATTACATTATAAACTGTTTAACCGCTTAACTACATGCGATCATATACAGATGCATGTGCGCGCGCTTGAATATAAACAATCAAACTGTTAAAAAAACTAAAAATTGCACGTCTGTTAGCGCCCTAAAAAACTAATTATTTTTAGGTTGATTTATTTTTAAATTTAAATCTTAAAGTTCCTGAAAAATTTTTTAATATTTCATAGCTAATTATTTTTTATTTTTGTAAAAACGAAAAGATTGAAATGTGGATAATTCGGAAAACTTGGTATAAAAAGAATTCTTCAAAATTTCATTCCGAAAATACTCCTTGAAAAACAGAAAATTTAGCTGATATATCATAAAAGTGATAGATTGAAATTAACGCAATTATCGAAAATAAATTTCAATGTGGCCGCAAAATTAGCTAAAGGTCTAAAAAAACACGAAATCACTCATATCTAAATTTTTGTTTAAGTTGACATTCAGCCTGTTCCAATATAAAGATTTCATAAAATTTCTTTTTTTATTATTCGAGACATTTTTTAAAAATTTATGGATTAAAAAAAAAGTGAATTTTGTTTCAATTCAAAAGAAAATTAATGACAGATTTTCAAATTTTGTTTGAAATAAGAAAATACATATGTATGTACATATCTGTTACTCATATGTTATACATATGTATAATTGTAGAATATACACCAACTTATACACAAGAGTTTCCTAATTTACAATCGTTTCACAAGAAAAAAAAAATACGAATTTACTACTCTACTTCAATCTACTACTACTCTACTACTCTACTTCAATTCTACTTCAATCACTTACCTGGCAATACTTTTGTTAACGATAAAAAGTACGGCAACTCATAATAAGTAAATATTAATCAAATTTCAGTAATGTGACGTGAAGAAATAACAAAAGGGAGTGCAATACAAAGTTTAGTTTTTTTTGATAACTACAAATTTTCTACCATCGTTCTAATTTTGTAAATATAAGTAGCTATATTCAAAATATGTCGTGCCACTTTAAATATACAAAGGAGACGAATCTATCAATTCCAAGAACCGCAGAAAATAATAATAAAATTTATTATGAAGTTAAAATTGTAATCAAAGATGTTGAATGGTCCGTTCTAAGACGATACAGGGAGTTCTACGATTTTCATGAAAAATTAACTCACTCAGAAGGACATGTCATCGCGAAAAGCCTTTTACCTCCAAAAAAAGTAACCTTAAACTTAAATCATTGCCAATCAGAATAAGAATGTATATAAAATAAATTATCGGTTTCAGATTCTTGGAAATAAAAATCCAGAATTTGTGGAGCAAAGAAGAAAGCTTTTGGAGGAATATATTCAATCATTACTAGGATTATTTAATGATAAATTACCCAGAGCATTCATTGAATTTCTAGAATTTAATAAGTACGATATCGTATATCTTTTGCAAGATCTATCACATTATTTTTGTGAATTTGGTGATTCATTACTGCTGACATCTAAAGAATATAATTTATCTTCCCTTGAGGCAACTATTGAATTTTTCTATTCATAAAACTTCCTTAAACAAATTTTTATTTTAGTTACATTGCATTAGTGAAAGATTATGTATTCCATGTCCAGAAGCGGATCAAAAAGATAAATATGATTTTTCACATGTACTGGACTTTTGCTCACAATTGGATATAGTTTCTGTTACCCCTTTACATGTAAAAAATTATAGAAGTCCAGAAATTAAGTGTTGCGACTTATTTATACTCTGAACCTAAAAATACAAAAGTTAAATTTTGATCACACTTAACCGCAACGCCTAATTTTTTACTTGATATGTCAATAAATATTAACCATTGTTTTCTAGGCTCATGAAGCTACTGAAGGATGCTATTACAATGCTGTTGATGTGCCAATTGGAAAAAGTAATTTGATTCCAAAAAATTTAAAATTCAATATGAACGCTTTTAGAAATATCAAAGAATTAAAGTTTTATGGGTTATCAACTGAGAATATATCAGATGCCTGTAAGCATAAATATTTTTGAACATGTGCAGGAAAATATCCTTTATTTATTTTTTAGATTTTCTAAAAACGTCCTTAGTAAAATTTTACGTTCATAATACAACAATTCGCCAAATTAATCAAGTTCTATTATGTGATTCTGTACACAAAGATGTACCTAACGCAAGTGATTGCAATGTATGGGATAAATTACAACATCTTGATTTTACTGGAAATTTGATTACAAGCCTTGATGAAAGTATTAAGTTAGCATCTAAAGTAAAAACATTGATTTTAGATAAAAATCGCCTAAAATCGATACAGTGCTTATCAAGCCTGTCTAATTTAGAAACACTTAGCTTGGCTGTTAATCTTATATCTGAGTGTTTGGATTGGCATTTACAATTAGGAAACTTAAAGACCTTAAATTTATCACAAAATCGAATATCTACTCTGAGTGGATTAAGAAAATTATACTCATTAGTTAACCTAGATTTAAGTTGCAATCAAATTGAAAATTTAGAGGAAATTGACCATATAGCTAGTTTACCACTTTTAGAGAATTTAAAGCTAACTGCAAATCCTTTAGCTGGAAGTGTTGGTTAGTAAACAGTTCATATTTTTAGCAAAATTTCATATTTATAAAAAATAACAAAAATATAATGTTTATTATAGATTATAGACCCAGAGTATTAGCAAGATTCTATGATAGAGCACCCGAGGTAAATTTTCCTATCGCTTATATGTATATACAGAAAGTTAATGAATATTAATTTTAGATAATCTTGGATAATGAGCATGCAACAGGAATGGATTTAGACATGGCTTTAGTTCTATCAGCATTGAATAAGGCCAAAATTAATGTTAACAGTATTTCTTGATTATGGAACATACTAATTTTAAAAATTATATTTTAATTTTACACCAATCAAACGACTATTTTAGATATTAGGAATAGCTTTTAATTTATTTTTACTAGTAAACTACCATTTACTTCAAATATTAGAACTAATCCAAAAGTTAAAAACAAAAGACAAAATTTAAAAATATTGTATGTAAACTTTATGTTATAAATGTTTAGTTTTCTTTACTAAAATAAAAATTATACATATGTAAATTTTCATATGTACATATATCATTTGTATATAATATATAGTATGTTTATATTATGTACTCCATATTTGTGAGCTTGTATTTGAAAAATCTGTATGTATTTCCTTCTGCATCTTATGCATATATTTATACGGAAATTACCATTAGTATCTCTTTAAATACCAATATTTATTGCAAAACTTGTTGAGAAAAAAATTCAGTTCTGATTTCAAGATGACATTTCGACATCATTATGAGATTGAATTAGTTCATTAGAGTTATTGGCTGGTTCATCATCCTCAGGTAAACTGTCACCTGCAGCAGCATTTTCATCAGCTTCTTCTCCACCATCTTCCTCTATTATATCATCAAAATTTTCATTTTCCTCTGCAGTGTCTGCTAAAACTGTAGCATCATTACCGTTTTCTTCGCCTCCATCATCATTATTAGTTTCACCATCGTTGTCGTTATTACCCTCTTCTACATTTTCACTTACAACACCAACATCATCGGCGTCTTGTTCTTCGCCTTCATTGGTCGCTCTTTCTCCTTCCTCCTCGTTTTCCTTTGAATCTGTAAAACCTTTCTCATTTCCTTTTTCCCCTTCAACTCTTGTTAAACCAAGCATCTCAAACATACCTAAAAAGTATAGAGTTCTGAAAGTAGTCTACTTTAAAATAAGCAACTCACTCTTTTTGACAACGTTTTCTTGTGCGGCTTGATGAGATATATAAGCACTTTTATGACCACATGTAGCTAAATGTCGGGCTAATGAGTTACCATCAGAACTTGAAAAGCCACATACGCAATGCATTTCATTTTCCAACTCTATTTGCACACTGCTTTCTGGATTGACGCCAGCCTGACAATATGATGCATGTGCTGTCATTGATCTTCCACAGCACGACTTGTATTGACATTTGTGACATTTCATGAGTTGCCTAAAAACATAGTAACAAATTTTTAGAATTTTTGAAACATATTTCATAAAGTCAGTAAATAATACGTAATAAGTTTTTTTCTTACTTAAGATGACCCTCTTCATTCAGCTCATAATCACATTCTATGCATAATTTTCCTTTCGGTACGGTTAAAACTATTGGTTGCTGATAGCTTTTGTCAACAGTATAAGGTGCTGTAACTCTATACGTTGTTCTTGCAGTTGTTTTTACAATTTTTGCAGAATTTTCAAATATTAATCGCTTCACTTTACTGCCCCATTTTACGTATGATTGATGATCGTTTAATAGATGATACTTCAGAGCACCTTTATTGACGAAAGATAGAACACATTTGCCACATTCCTTTTTTTGATTTTTAACAAAGTGCTGTCTTAAGTGCAAATAATACATTTCAACATTTCTTTTAATAAATTCTCCATTTGAATAAATCCAAAATACCTGAAACAACATATCAATAATATTAATTATCAACATTTGAGTACATGTTATTTTCTTTTACTTACATCCAAACATAGAGGACATTGAAGTACATTTGAATTACTATGATTATCATAAAAATGGGTTACTATATCCCAATGCGCTGACGTTCTGTATTGACAAGCTCCACATTTGTATGGTAATTCGAGAGCAACATGACATTTTTGTAGATGGGTCGTCAGAAGTATAGTTGAATTAAAACGATTCTAAAATAAGATGATGAATTTTTGATAAAAAAAACTTTTTTAATGAAAAAAAACTTACATTGCAAATTAAACAGTGATAAGACAATGCAGTCGAATTTTTTGTTTTTATTGGGTGGTGATGTTGACAATGTTTATTTAACTGCTCTTCTGTTGTATGTTTCTCCATACAAAATATACACTGGAAAGGATTAGCATTTTTTTCAGAATTAATGTGATACATAATATCATGTTGGAGATCTTGATTTGAAGCAAACTTGTCGTTACAAATTGGACATTCTAATTGCACGTCTTTTAAATCTTCTGTATCTTCTTCAACTGCCCATATTTTTCCATAATAGATTTCTTCGATACTTTTAGTGTTTGGTGGTGGCTTTATTTCTTCTTTCATAACAGGTTTTGGAAGGGGCTGCTTAGGGAGTGCCTTACTTGATTTGTTTGATGGTACAACCCAAGGGTCTTTTTCAGTTTTAATTTTTTCCAATGGCTTTAACTCAATGCCTAAATACATACGAAATATTATCAGTTATAAAATTAGAATTATATTATTAAGCTTAATTCGGTAATACTCAAAACCCACAAACTTTTTATGACATTACAAGTATGTATAAGTGAGAAAATATTAATAATGGCTCCCCATATTGCCAAAATTTAATGCTGTAAGTTTCTACACACATATTTTATCAGTTATTTCTAAAAAAAGTGTAGAAATAAAACTTTGAAGTAAAACTTTTTCAACATTATTTACTAAATTTGCATTGAAATGAAAACTAAAACAAATTAAGTTTATAATACAAACACAAAATTTTATTGTTAAAAAGAACAACATAAACCTTTAACTTATAACAATATTTTTCTTGTAACTGCGATTATTAGAGTACATTCAGTTTGAAATTGAAAAACCAATTAAAATATTTGTACACTTGAAAAATTCCTGTTTAACATAATATAAAATCTTTTAAGACAAAAGCTGATTTTAATTATAAGTAGTTTAGGTTGTTAAGTGTTCAATTTAAACTTACAAATTGTAATTTGGAATGAATATATACATGAAAAATCTTTAAAAAAAACATTTGAGTTAAATTATATTTAAACTTACAGCAATTATATGAAATTAATTAACTTATTAAACTTCAAAAATTATTAAGAAAATTTTTTATAAATCACTAGTAAACTCCTACCAATAAGAAAGTAACACTTTGATTAACGGGTCTTCATATAAAATACTAATATAATTATATTTTATAAAATAAAATAATTAAGAAATATTCTTAAATTCTTAAGTCTCCTTTTTTATATTTTCTTTAAATTTTGGTCCGACGTAAAGAACCTGTAAAATAATTTCACTATTAAAGTATTTAAAAGAATTTCTAGAAATAAAATAATTTTCCAAAGCCTTTAAGTATTTTGAACTACACCTTATTTTTTACAAGCATACTGTTAACAGATTATTTAATCTATCTTAAAAAAACTCACGTGTTTCTTTTTTTTCCGGCAGCTTCTTATTTGAAGTTGGTACATTTTTTTTCGTAGATGAGGTCAACGCAGTCTTATCATTATATGTTTCAACGGTTGAAAGATCAATTTTAGCGACTTTTGAAGGTTCTTTGCATTCAGATACGCTCCAGTCTTTAAATGGATTAGTAGCGACCTAAAAAAAAGTAATAAAAAGCAAAATGTTTTGAAAATTTAGTCAATAGTTTAACATACTTGGTACAATCTTTGAGTTAAATTGTCGCCACCTTCTAATTTTGTTTGCTCGGCAATATGAGCCGTTATGTTATTAAATGCCTGCAAAGGATATGACCCCCACTGTTCACGCCACACCAGTTCATCCAAAAATTGTTGTATCATCTGACGTGACAATAAGCTCAATGTATTTTGGAACATTCGTGGTACGACTTTTCGCAAATAATCCATAACACCTGAATTCGTATGTTTTGCCGTAGGATCACTGGCAGCTGCTTGTATTAAATTTTTAAAACCCATCCCTTGTAAAATAGTTTTATCTATAGTCAAATCTATTGCGAGAATACTATCTTTCTGAACCCATCTTGATAGGGGTTCTAAGATAGCTATAAACCGCTTTTTATAATTTCTATCCTGATCTGAAACTGGTTCAATAGCCCGAAGACGAATAACTTTCTCCGCATGATCAAGAACTCCTAACACTTCCACTTTTACTTGACGTTGTTGCCCATTTTGACTGGTTGTGCCTAAAGAAATAACGCCAACCTAAAACAATTTTAAAAATTTAAACGTGTTCATTTTTAAATTCATTAAAAATTTTCCTACTTCAACGTATTTGCCTGGACCACCTAATAATTTCATTTTCTGATTGACAGATAATGTACATACAGCACGTAGCCATGTGTAAACTCCCTTAATATAAACATTATCAACTTTTACCCATTGAACAACATTTTGAATATTTGTTTGGCAAGACCAGTGATAAATTAATTTTAAGATACACGATGGAGGATGCGGCGCATTTTCAAAAAGGGAACCAAAAAATACCGATATGAAGTTATTGGGACAACATTCATTTATCCAAACATAGCCTCCAGAATATGGAAACTTTGAAGCATCAGAATATACTCCTAATTTTAATACATTTTTTCGATGTTTTGTACATTTTTGAACTGATTTAAGTAAGCCTTCTTGAATAAGCCATTCTGTAAATTTAGATGGTGTCAACATCAACACCACCTTAACTTTAGAATCTAATTTACTTCTAGTTGTTGCAGCCGCATCTTTTGGTTTTAAAGAAGGCTTAGCGAGAACAACCAACGAAGGAAAAGTTTTCCCTTGCAATTTACTATTAGCGGCTTCTTTTGCACTAGCGTCAAGGTTTTTCTTTCCATCTTCTGTTCCAATCGTAAGACCACCTAAAGACGTTCCCTCCGTTGGCCTTATTTTAACTACTGGTGGTGGTGTAGATGACGATGGCGCAGATGGATTACTCTTTGGTTTCTCAGAAACTTTTGGTGACTTCGCACTTGTTTTAGAAATTTTCGATGGTGGAGTATAAAAATCTTTATCTCGGTTTCTGGCGATTCGTTTTGCCAGTGGAATATCATCATCATCCTCACCAAAATCTGCGAATGATGTTGGCGCTGCTCGACGCTTTCCAGGCAATGGTGAAGTTGTTCTTTTATTACTTGATAAGGATTTCTGGTCTGGAAACGGAGATTGCATTTGTATTGATGCTGAATGAGGTTTCTGGCTTCTATTTGTAGCTTTCAAGGGGAACTTTTGAGTTCTAAGATTTTGCAAATCAAAGTATCCGTCATACTGAGTAGCTGTAAAATTTTCACCTCCAAATATCAATTCTCCTTTATTGATTAATTTCCATTCTTGAAGTTTTCCTTTAATATCATTGCATTCTTTTTCAATTTTTTCATAAGCGGCTAATTGAGCCGGGCTCAAAACATCGGGTGTGCACTCAAGATCAAGTGTGCAAAAAGCAACATCCACCATCATTTATGTATTTTAAACTTTTCACAATTTTTCTTTATGATTTTCGCCTCTATTGTTTTAAATCTAAAATATTTATTGACCGCACTTTAGTTTTCAATCCTTCGAAAAAATATGGCGGCGATTTTGTTGGCGTCTATCAAACCTGAAGTATTGCCAAATTTTTAAAACATTTTTAGCTTTTTGACTTTTTTTTGCATATTTGTAAAACGATTGATAATTTTTGCATGTTATGACAAAATAAATGCAATAGACTGTTCTTATCTTCGATTACTAAGATAAAAAGAATGTGAATGCGTTAGCAAAATTATACAGACGGATATAGCAGGTAGTTTGATCTTTGAAAACAAATATAGTAAATAATTTTAAAATGAAAACTTTTTTATTCAAAAGCTTTCATTTTAAGATAAATTAAATAATGTATATGTATATTTCTGCGTAAAATAAAACTTAATACAATCGAAAATCAAAAAGATAAACAATCTGCTAGAGTTTTTTTGTGCACAAACACATTTTTAATTTTATTTTGTATGTACATATATACATACGCTTCCAAGTATTTCCTCTTTCTAAACATTTACTTTTTAATGGTTTTGATTATAAGTTTTTTCTTATTTTAATTTTTATTTTCAAGAAATGTATAAAATGTTCAACATAAAAATAAAAATATAGCTAATGATGAGAAAGAAGTGTTTTAAACTTTTAAATAGTATACCAGATTTTTTTAGAGGAGTCAATTTCTAGCAGTAAAGTATTCTAAAAAAAAATATGTATGTACAAACATATGTATAATAAGCATAAAAGAATTACTTTAAAATATAATAATTCTGTAATCTATTTCTTGAACATATTGAGGAATTACTTAGTAATATCTATAATAGTCAAATAACATTCATTTTTTTTAGCCAAAAAGTTAAAGATTTTAGGAAAAAATATTCGATTAAGATAATATATGCCCTGCAAAATGAATCAGTCCACGTGATGACATATTTGTCAAAATGCTATTTAAACTTGACAAGTCATCTCTCGATAAATTTTGACGTTTATATTTTTCATAAAAAATTTGATGAGAATTGGAAAATTTTCAATTTAGATTTTTATTTCTTTCTTTTTGACATTTTATAAAAAAAATTGAAGAAAAATTTCACCAAGCATTAACAATATAATGACTTCCAGGAAAGAATCGGAGAGGACGAAATTAATACAGGAAAAATGTCAGAATTTATTAACCCAAATGCTTAGAGATGAAGATAATAAATATTGCGTTGATTGCGATGCTAAAGGTAAGTTTTAAACTTAGGGGGCGTTCTGCATAAAATACTTTTTATTTTTCTAAAACAAAAACTCCAATTTGCTATTGTACTCAACCTTCTAGGACCTCGTTGGGCTTCTTGGAATTTGGGAGTATTTTTATGCATCAGATGTGCAGGGATTCATCGTAATTTAGGTGTTCATATTTCAAGAGTTAAATCGGTATGTATACCATTGTTTATTGTATCTTTAATTATTTGAAGGAAATTAGTCATAATTGCATACATGTACGTACATTTCAAATTCTTCGTGGCATTGAATATCAATATTTAATTAAAAATAAAAGGTAAAAAAATTTCAAAAGTTTCTCAAAACATTTAAATATGCATATAGGTATTTATATTTCGATTTTTAGGGATTTTTGTACCTACTTAAATAAAAAACTGTTTTCTTTCATTATTTTTTATATGTATTTATTTTTAAACAAATCCTTTTAGGTAAATCTTGACACATGGACTCCAGAACAAGTCGTATCGTTGCAACAAATGGGTAACTCAAGAGCTCGCGCAGTTTATGAAGCGCAAATACCTGATGGTTTTCGACGTCCGCAGACTGATACGGCCCTAGAAAATTTTATAAGGGCAAAATACGAGCATAAAAAGTATTTAGCACGCGAGTGGGTTCCACCTTCACCACCAAAAGTTGACTGGGCAAAGGAAATAGATGAAGAAATCGAAAAGCAAAAACGTAAGAAGAAGTCAGCGTCCGGCCAATTAGGTGGGATAACGGCACCATTATCTTCTAGTAATATAATTAGTAGTGGTGATAAAAAAATCTCAAGTACTTCAAATTCTATCAAAAATACCCCCTTACCTGCACCACTGCCTAAACCAAAGTCGTCGAATAGTCCCAAAACATCAAACCGACTAGATTTAAATTCATCAACTTCTTCATCCACAAATAACTCTTCTTCCCTTAACAGCAGTTCCGATTTGCTTGGTTTAACATCTCCAACAAATGCACCAGCCGTAGTTGGCAAGGAACATCAAAATGGTTCTGATCAGTTTACTAGTTTTTTAAGCGCAACTTCAACAACTAACCCTGTAAATTCAAGTTCAGCAAATGGAAAAGCTAATTTGGGAAAAGACTTAAATAAAACCGCTGCAAACTCTTTAGCAAAAGAAGAAGAAGATTTTTTTAATCAAACAACAAGCTTAGGCTCAGTTGCAGACCGTGATAAAAGTGGAAAATTAACCAAGGATAGTATTTTAGCGTTGTATGGGACTTCAAATCCAAGTAGCTTAGGTCAATTCAATAATAATCCATTAAGCAGTGTTAGTGGAGCATATAGCAATGTTTTTTCAGCAGGTTTCATGCAAACAAGCATTCCAAATCAACAAAATCAACAACAATCCCATCAAGCATTCCCGAGCGGTAATGTTAACCTGGGAGGAGCAAATGTTACCAGTGGTTCGAGCTGTTTATCAACAAATTTAAATTTGAACTTAGCCGGTATGCCGCAAGGATTATTAGGGCCTCCGCAGCAAGTTAATCAATTAGTTCATCCTCATCAATTTATGCAACCACCAAGTTCGATGTATAATGCACCAGTAATGACAGCACCAAATGCTTTTACATCGGCATCTGGTGGAGCAAATGGTGGTACATCAACTGTTCCTTTACAAGTACATCAATATCAGAATATGAATTTACAACAGCAAGGGTTTGGGCAATTTCCTTCTCAAAATAATATGAATTTAACCAACTTACAGATGCATCCACAAACAAATATGTTTCCAAGTTCATTCAATAGTGGTGCAATAAATAATCTGCAATCAAATTTCATAGCTCATCCTCAAAATACTGCTAATTCGGTTCCAATTTTAGGAGCAGCTACAACGCAGCAATCAACTAATTCGACAAGTTTAAGTCAACAATTTGGAAACTTAAATCTGGGAAATGTTTGGCAATAAATTATTGTTTGCTCTTTGAACTTTGTATTTTGTAATACTGTGTTTGATTAAGCTATTTTTTTATTAAAGAATTCTTTAATTGATTATCCTAAAATGTAACATCGTATAGAAAAAAAAATTAAAGTTCATTAATACATAATTTTAATGAAAATCATTGTTTTCTCGCGATCATTTTGGAAGTGAACAGCCAGTTTTATAAATTTTTGCTTTTCGTAACATATATTTGTACCTTAAATATATTTGTTATACGAACTGATGTTTTTTTTCACCACAATATATATGTATATGTACACAAGATATGCATTTGAAAAAAATTTCCCAAACCACTGATCTGTAAATAGTGGAATGTATTTTAATATTATTTGAGCTTTGGTATGAAACTATGTTTGTACATTGAATGTAAATAATATAAATGTATATTATTAGGAATTGTAAAATGTATAGCACAGTTTGCTCATTTCATATTTTCCAAAATTTATTTCTTTTTTTTTGCTAATTTCCTCTTATTTTATGATTAAATTTGTAATTGCATTGTTTACTATTTCTGTAAATTTCATAAAAATTATTGAAAATATAAATAATTACACAAACTAAATGATATATGCATAATGTAAATAAAAAAAAAATGAATGCATTTCTATGAAAGAAATACTTAACATTTTTTTTAACATTACGTCATTGAATTCAAAAAATTATAAAATGGTTGCGAAAATGTAAAAATTACTTTTTTTTTGGTTAAAAGTTAATTTTTATTATTCTACTTAAAAGTTATTTTTATTATAAGAAAACTTTTTCTAAATTTTATTTTGCTTTATTTAGCATTGAAAAAAATTATATTGTATTTGTCAAAATATCTGTAAAATAATGGATATTAAATGTATATGTACTTGCAATAATAATTTGTGTGGAATTGCTTAATTTATGTTGCACATATTGTGTGTAGTTCTTTAGAAATTATATAAATGTTTCATAAAAAAAAATTTCACTATCAATTCATATATATACATATATGTATATATTAAAAAAAATTAACAAAAATATATGATACCTAACCACTTATTACGAAAAACAAACATAATTTGAGAGTGAATTTTTTTTTTTGTATAAAATGCTCGATAATTTTTGTTTTTTATAATTGATTAATACGAACATACTTTAGCGTAAAAACCAATAAGAAACACGCGGGATCACAAAACTTGTTAATTAAATTGTTAAATTGTATTGAATTCAGAATAAATAATAATAGTACTAAATCGTCTTATTAAAACTATCATCTATTTAATCAAAACCAAAATTAATAAAAAGTAATGCGGATGAAAAAATATGCAATTTTAAATTTGTAGAGAAGAAAGATGTAAAAATTAAAAAAAAAAGAAAAATAAAACAAATCTATAAACCATAAATACAACAAAATAAAAAATTATTTTTCAATATTATTGCAAATAATTTTTATTAAGAAAATAAAATTAGTGTGAGTGCTGTAATATATTTTAAAGGTACAATAACATTTAAAAAAATTGAGAGGTACAACTAAAGTACATATGATTTGAAAATCGACGTACTTAATTTAAGAAACAGAGTCGATATAAATTTAAAAAAAAATTTGAAATATCCAAATTATTTATTTCTATATTTTTTCTTTACTTATTGAAACACTACTATTTTTTTTATTATTATCATTTACAATTACAAAATAACAGGAAGAACAAAAATTAATAAATATAAATCTTTAATATTTACACAAAAAAATATCTTGTAAATTTCAAAAATAGCTATAATAAATTTCAAAAATAGCTATAATTAAATTTTAAAGAACAATAAGAACTAATTTATGCAAATTAAATTGACGGAAATACTAGTAAAATATCATAATGATTTTGAAAAAAAACAGATGATAGACAACCCATTTACAAATTTAACAGTATTATTTTATTTATCATAAATCGTTGAATTTAGATCGGGTCACATTTATTTATTGTGGCAGCGCGTTCTCCCAGAAAATAGTATAAATAAATAAGAAGGAAACATATCAACCATATTTAATAATCATATAAAATATTAAAATTCGTAAACCCAAATTTTGTTAATCACGTGCTCATAATTACATCATAATTACATTATATTATTTTTAATCATGTATTTCGTTCACTTATTAGCATACAAATTTCAAAAATGTTGTACCTTTCTTTAAAAAAATTGAAAGTTAAAAAAAATAAATATAGGTTTATGTACATGTATTAATGTAAAACAATTTTGAATCCTATTGATTTCTTAATCTGAAAATAAAAAAAAAAAAACAATTAAAAGTTTAAATAAAATACATATTTCAATACTTAAGAATATTATGTATAAAAAATTATTTTTGAAAATTATATAAAGAATTTTATAAAATACACCCATAAATATAATTTCTTAATAAGTTTAAGTTTTTTTTTTCCATTCAAATAATTTTAGGCAACTTTTACAATTAAAGTATTCTCGAAAGTTTATATAAAATTAGTGATTAAAAGAAGAATTTTTTTTTGAATTTTAGGACTGTGATGAAAAAACGAAAAATTTATAAAGCACTATGTCATATAAAATAATATCTTCGCGTAATTTGCTATTTTAACATTTCAATAAACTTTTTTAATTTCCGATACGTATTTTTTTTTTCACCTCATTTCGAGTTTTATGCAATAATTACCATCACTTAAGAATAAATTATTATTCTAAATCATAATTTATTTATAATAAAAATTTGTCTAAAAATAAAAATATTTTTGAGTATTGTTTATTTTTCTATACTTTCTAAGCTGCGTTTTGAATTGTTTCGCTACATCGTTTTTAATTAAAATAAAATTAAACAAAACAAAAATAATTTTACTGAAATAATAAATATAAAAAATAACATCAAAAATTAATAAAAATAGTATAATAATCAGTTGTCTAAAAATACAAACTATACTTGTAACCAAATACTATACATACATAAATATTATATTAAATATAGTATATGCCTAATGAATAATATTATGTATATTTTCGACATAAATGTACCTTATTATATTTGTAATTCAATATAAAAGTACACTTTTGTTTAAATTCCAATAATATTGACATTATATTACAAATAAATAAATATTTAATCTTAACACAAAAGTAAAATTAAACTAAACTATATCATTATATGGAATAAATACTTAATGATTATAATAAAACTAAAATAAAACGGATGCCTATAGATAATTAATAAAAAATATTACGTTTAATTAAAATTTTATCATAAAAATTAAAATAAACACATAAAAATTTGCGTTTTTGAAGATATTTGCAAACAAAAAAAAATAACGTAATTTTTTGAAAGCAAATATGTAATTATATTATAGATTAAAATATAGCTCTAATGAAAATTGATAGTAATAAAAGTAATAATTAATGATTCAATAAAATAAAATGAAGAAAATATAGCTAAAAAATATTTTTATTTTCGAAATGTTTTACTTTGGGGGCAAAATTAGCCTTTTCTATTATTACATAATATAATATGTATTATATATGAAGTGTAGTTAAATAAATTTGGATCAAATCAAATATAAGGTGACAAAAATTCAAATTTTACAAATTTTGAGAGTGATAACTTGAGAGGGAATGAAAGTGAAAAAAAAATCTTCAAACGAAATAAACGATTTATTAATGTCTAGGAGAAAAACTATATCAAAAATTTGGAAAAAAAAATATTTAAGATAAATATTAACGTATTTTAGGTAAATATTAACAGCAATTTTGTTTTTTTAAAGGAAAAATATGGTTTCCCGCGGTAGAAGAATCCAGCCAATACTTTTCTGCGTTTGTAAACAATATGAAAACTTCAAAAAATACTTTAGGAAATTTCATTGCAGTTTCGAGCACATATGTACATACATACGTTATTGTACGAAAAAAAATTCACCAAAAACTGGGACTCAAATATAAAATAAAAATAAAATTTTATATATTTTTCAAATATAAAATAAAAATAATAAATTTTATAAAGTATACTTTACTAGGTGTAATTTAAGAGGTCCTTTAAAAATTTAAGGGGTCCTTTTTTTTAACACTAGCTTTCATAACAATTTTAAATAAAGTTGGATCAGACCAATGTTTGTATTGTAGCATTTTTTCCTCCAACATGTGAAAATACTGCTTTTAAAGGTTTTTAAATACAGTCTATGTGTACCTATCGCACTATTAAAATTATTGGTTTTCATTCATAAACGAAACTATTTCTAGGATTGCATATATTTAGGATGAACGATTTATGCAGTCTGAAATAAAGCAAAAATGAATTAATATAAAGAGTGGTGATTTTAAGGGTTAGTTGCGTGAGCTAAGAAAAAAAATTATATTTTTAATGTCGTGGAATATACCGTTAGCTTTTTGCGTTTATAAAAATTTGAAAAATCTTACGGTTTCGGAAATATAAGGTTTAAGAAATATAATAAACGTCATAATAGTCATATAACTGAGAGGGGGTGGAGATGGAAAAAAATTTTCTTCAAACGAAATGAACTATTTGTTAGTGTCTAAAAGCTGCTAAAATTTGAGGCTTCCACAACCTGGGGTCTAGAAGAAAAATAGCATAAAAAATTTGGAAAAGACGGATTTTAGATAACGGTTAATTTGAACGGCCATTTTGTTTTTCTAAAGTTTAACTATAGATACCGCGCTAGGGGAAGCAAGCCACTGCGTTTGCAAAATTTGGAAAATGCTTATGGTTTCACTGCAATAGTTGAAAAATGGCATTTTTAGGGTTTTAGAGGGTTATAATTTCTAGAGGGGCGGAGATATGTATAAATTTTCTTTTACGGAAATAAGTTTCTAGTAAAGATCTATCTACATAAAAAATTTCAGCTTTCTTCAAGGGTGCAGAAGTTTTATAAACATGTCCACATGAAACTAACAAGCACTTTTTTCAAAAAATTTTTGAAAAAGTGCTAAAAAATAAAGTGTGACTTTTTCTCTCAATCTTTTCTCATAAACCGTTTGAAAAACTGAGGGAAAAACTGAATAATTGTATTTATTTCTTTTTCAAAATACCTGCGTTTACACGACGCTTTTGCATCAATGAGTGACATTCATTTAATTTTAGTCTTCTAAACTAAGTTTGTTTGCCTTTTTAAAAATATATTTACATATTCTCTATCCCATTCACAAAAAAAGCGACTTCCAGACCTGTATTATTGTCAAAATTACTTTAACATATACCCTTATAATAATCGGCGAAGCGAATGGGTAGGCGAGTCGAATGGATTAGGCGAATCGAATGATATTTTAAGTTAAGATCGGCGAATGCTTTCATCTTCAAAAACAATCTAGAATACTGGGAAAAGATGGGAAAAACTTGAAGTAATTTTCAGAGGATATTACTTCAGCTATATTCTTATAATTAACAAAACCACACAGATTATTGCAGGAAAGGGAGTATCATCGGTTCATCTACCGCAATAATCAGTGTCTTTTTCCAAAAACTGGGAAGATAAATTTTCTTTTAGATTGAGTATGATAGGTAATGTATTAAAATAATTGAAAAACTCCAGCAATTACAAGAAAGAGGAAAGATGATGTGATTTATCATTTGATGAAATGAAGATAAAATCTATGTATGAATAAGACAGAAAAAAAAAAACAAAAAAGTTATGAAACGAATGCTAAGCAAAAAATGAAAGACAAAATTAATAAAAAAAAATTATAACAATTATAATTAATAAAAAAAAATTATGATAATTGCAGCTTTCCTTTCAATAATAACGCTATTTTCATACAATTTTTCAGTTGCGTGTCATATGGCGTCACAGCCAATTGTCAATTATTTTGTACACTACTTTGTACGCCGTGTAAACTAACTGAAAATATGTAAAAGTCTTCGGGTAATGATGCAAATTAGTATCATCAGAGTACGTTACCATTTGTACAAATTTGTGATAGATATTGTTGTTGTTTCAAGCGAGGTGTATTTATTTTGTAATATAGATATACTTTGGTGGCAAAAAAAAGAAAACTAGCTGGAACAAGTCGAACTATCATGAAATAAATTCACTTTGGTTTCAAGTACAAAAAATATGTACCGATTTTTTTTCTAGACTAATTACACTCCACCAAAACCTTAGTGCATAATTATTTGCTCATGCATGTATTTTTATATATTTTTTTATAATTCGTTTGACATTTTTTTAGAATTATCAAACATTTCTAGAACAGAACTACGGAATTATATTAATCAGATAAGATCGCAATCATCTGAAATTTTTAATATTGTAATTAAAATTGTGAATTATGTCGTTTACGCAATATATTATGACAACGGCGCTGTTCTGGAGTTCATGTTGGCGGCTCTTTATCAGCTCAGATTATATATAGAACTTATATAAAGAGAAATTAGTAACTTCGACAAGATTGACAGATTATTTTGGATATTTTTGTTATTTTGAGTTTTATCAACACAAACGTCTAAAACCAAACAATGTAAAGCTGTATTCATTTTTTGTTTCTGTGACAGAACTTCAAACTAAACGTAATGCTTTTTGCAGTACTGTAACAAAACCAACTGCGACTGAAGTTCATACTTGAACTGCAAACAACTGAACTTAGATTAATTTTGTTCTTTTTTTATTTTACAATAATGTGGTTGCAAATTTATATTGAATTGGTTTATGTCAAAATATTTATACATGCATGTTTTATTAAAGAGTTGAACATGTATTTATAGCACTTAATAAAACAAAATATAACACGTAATTGTTTTTATCGGTTTACTTCTGAGAGAAACTGTCAAACGAATTTTTATATACTCTAAAAGAATATGGCAATTCTTCTTTTCTGAAAATCAACCACATCAAAATTCTTTTTATTTTTGTAAGCACAGCACAATCACATCATTTTTCTCCGTTCAGTCATTTTTTAGATATCAATGTGAAAAGTATAGTGGTAAGACGTTTTAAATTTTATAAAATTGCGAAAAAGTCGAAAATTTAATTACAAATAATTGTTTTATATGTGTTCTGATTGGCAAGTATTATTAATTTAGTTAAATAAAAAATATTTATGAAATTTTTTAGCAATTAATATTTGTTAAAAAATTGTTTTAAAATTAAGTACAAATACTTTTTTGGGCTTGTATTGTTGTGCAGAATTGAATGTCAGGGAGGTTGCTGATAAAATAAATTAATTTTTCATTACTGCTGAATTGAAGATTGCATGGTATTGCCAAGTTCTTGTTAATCATTTAGTCAAAAAATTTCAAGTACATTAAATATAAAAAAATTAATATTGTCAAGCTTGCTACAATATATAGCAAATTGCAATTCAAATTCCATTGAAATGTACTTATTGTCAATTTAAACGGATTTTATGATTAAATATACTTATTATGTATTAGGCAATAAAGCGTAAATAGAAAAGCCGTATTTGTGTCGTTTAAAGTAATATTCGTTTCTTCTTGGCATTATCGAACATGTTAAAATTTTTTGCAACAAAAAATCAAGTACCTAAGTCGAAATTAAATAAAGCTCTCAGTTATACAGTAAAATTTAGTAATGCTTGTGACGGTTAAAGTTGTCACGAAACTAATGTCACAAATTAATTCGCACTCAAATATGTACAAAAATTCAAGTTATTTTTATATACACTTAGTAGAAAAATTCTGCGTACACTGAACATTCTTATATATTTTGCATTAAAAAAAGATCAATTATATTGTTTAAAAATTTCAATTTTTTTAATGATTACTATAGAATTTGTTTGTTTTTTTTTTTTTTGTAAAATGAAATGTTATATTTTGAAATGACTAATTGTATAAAAATAATTAAAAAAAAATTGAAATTTCTAAATACATTGATCATTTTTTAATGCAAAATATGTAGGAAGTACGCAGACTTTTTCTACTAGTGTTCATAGTTCATCACAAATAACGAAATTATTTCATACTCTACATAATTTATGTTCAATATAAACATTGCTCGAAATTAAAAATCATGGCAAAAGGAATCAACCGAAAATACAAAATGAAATTTTCATTTAAAATTATTTAAAATAAAATTTTTGAAACCGTTTTAAGAATCAGCTAAACGCTTTTTGAAAAAAAGATCCAAATAATGTATGTTTGTTGAAAATATGAGTATACACACAGATATACTGTGCGTGCAAAAAACATGTTTTTTTTTATCCTACTTTACTGCTGGGAGGACCATATGGCTGGTGCATGATATCGTAGATAACTCATGAACCAGTTTCTTGCGTCCTTGAATTTTACTAGGTAGGCTACGAGCTTACCGTATTTAATTTTTATATTAAATATTTAAAATTATTAATATTTATTGTTCAATTTTATGCTGGTATTTTCAATATTGGATATTATCGAAATATGGCAATTAGTTGATATTGATTTTTTATTTTATATGTAATGTATATACAGCCATATAATAATGAATATAATTTTTATAGTGATCTGACCGGGCTTTAAGTCCGAGACCCTTTAATTTAAAGCACCAGTGCAATAATCACTGCGTCATTGGTCAGGTCACAAAGAATGTGTAATGTAAATCAATCATGAAAAATATTTTTGATGGCGCTAAATTAAACTGGCGATCGACTTAAAAGTTATCCCTGTATCTAAAGACATTCTGACGATACTGGCAACTACATTGGATAACAAATTTTTATAGTTCTATATTGTACTCACATTATATTGGTATAAAAATGAAAAGTTTTTACTCTAAAATATGGATTAGACTGTCTTAATTGAATTCATAGTTATAGGAAATCATAGTATAGAAATTCAGAGTTATAGAAATTCGCTATATGATTGAAAAGAAGATCAGTTATGTAATAGCACAAAATTCTGATTAGAAAATCGAGTTTGTGGGAAGAATGCTTACGAAAATTAAATTATATTACTAAATTATTTTGTAATTTTATCTTAAAACATTATCTTCATCTGTATGTTATTTACACATGCATAATTAGCGAAGTAATCCATATGTCAGTGGAAAAGTAGGATTAATTCGTTTTTATTCCATTGCTGTTTAAAATAACGAATTGTTAAATTAGTTTCCAAAATATTTTTATCCTTTTATTTTATTTTACCGTTAACGACTTGTTTAAAAAAAATTTTGAATTTTTTTTTATTAAAAACTTAACCAATTTTTAATTGAACTTTAGTTTTTAATTTTTTTTTGAATTTTTTTTTCGAAGCAAAAATTCTCCTCTAAATTTTTTACATGGTATATTTTCCTCCTGCAGAAAAATTATTAATTACTCACATATTTCTCTTAATTTTATGTTGTCACGTTTCTATCTTGAACAAGTTTCATTATAATGCGTTATAATGAATTATCTACCTTGGACAGAGCTATTATTACAAGATTATTTTCGATTTCTTAACCAAATAACTTAATTTTAAAAATTTACATTGCTCTATTATAGGTTTTTTTGTAGATATTTTTTAATTTTGTCAAAATACTAATGTGAAGGAAAAAAGAATTTGCAAATTTCATATATGTACGTATGTATGTACATATTTAATTGTTTTTACAGTTTCCATAATTCATACATAATTCATAATTTTATAGCACAATTCCGTAGTGATGCCGCCAGTTACGAATTCAGTAAAGATCAGAAATAAATTTATAAATAACAGAAAAAAATAAGCGCAAAATATATTATGAACCCCCACATAATACATTATATAATTACTTATTTCTGTCCTTTTTTAACTCACACACACAAATGCTCCCTAAAATAGAATTTTTCATTTTAGTTTTTGCAGTGCTGAAATATATTCAAAGCTGTAAACTAAACTAAAGTGATGTGATGTGGCTGATATGATATATGAAAAGTATATGCATACATACATTATATGCATGTTTATAAACATTCACTCAATATTATTTAAATACACGAGCATATTTTCTTTGAGTATGTATGTATGTCGTTATGTAGTTATAAATTATCTCTCGACGCTTGCATAGGAAAATTCTGCATTCAAGAACCACTTTTGCATATTTTTAATACTTTGAATTGTGGCGTTATTATTAAAGAAATACAAATCTCTTCCGTTTCTATACGTGCAAAATAGTTAATTAATACATACATGTAAGTAACTGAAAAAAACGTTAAATAATGTTTGTTAATATACATTAAGACTTATGTTGAAAAGAATAGCATCATTAACTATGATGTTCTTACGCACATCTCCATACATAACTATCAAACATATCGTGTTGAAAGCTTTTGCAATTATGCTAGTTTGAATCGAAAATAAATATGTATATGTATATTATAACTGTGTAAACTTATATTGCAAAAAGTTTATGTATTTTTATTTTTTTTTATTTTGATGTTGATTTTCGATCTGTTTCGATTAAGCTGCATTGAACTTTTGTAATTTGTGTTATTTTCTAGTCTTCAGAATATTAGAAAAAAAATCTTTAAACATTCATTCATATTTCAAGTTTGGAAAACAAGATCTAATACTACGGCAATATGGAAGAAAAGTATTGGAAAATTGTCTTAGATTTTTGATAAAGTTTAGATGCATGTTTGTAAATATGCATTTAAACTTTATGTCATGGCACTTATATTTTACTACTCATGACATAATAGGTTCATATATTAAAGGATTGGAGTACTGAAACAATGGAGTTTTCTTTGATGAAACATAATTTATTTCTTAGATTCTTAAATTAAATTTAAGATTCAATGCAAAGGGAGAAGATGGAGTTGACGTTGTCATCTTTTTTTGAAGTTTTATTGAAATGTTGTCTGTTATTATACTTACACAAAATTGGAATAAAATTATTTTTGATGGGACGTTTCAAATTTTGTCGAGTTATTTACCCTGTTACCAAGATTGTTCATGCATAGTTTAAGAACTATATGTCTAATGTTATTCATCCACTATTCAACCTGGCTCCATGCAAGTTAAATACTGATTATTGGTAATGTGACTTTAATCGAACCCAATTTAAAAAAGGGTTGTGCTGTATCATCAGTATTAACAATTTCAGTATTTATCAGTCTAATTAGCACTTTATAGTAAGCATTCTTCCAAATGAAAGATGATTATAAACTTTTTACAATCATCTTTTTTTGTTTATTTTTTCAACAAATGTAATATGAAGATATTTCAAAGATATTCAAATGTGCATTTATCAATTGGTAAAAATGTCTTATTAAATTAATTAATTTGATTTCAATCCCTTAGAATTTTTGATGTAACAAACAACTGGAATATTTCGTAAAAGGAAAAATATTTCACACGTATTAGTTTAGATTAAGTTGATTACAATCAAAGGAAATCAAACTAAAATGAATGACAACCGCGGAAAGCAATTGGAAATAAGACATGGTCGCAAACGCAAAAAAGGCAAGTGTGATGAGACTCATCAGCAACCGAGAGAAGAAAATTTAAATAGCGAAAAAAATAGCAATTCGTCTTTAGATCCTGTGGGAAATAATAATAATGTAGCAAATAGTTATTGTGCTTCAAATAATAATAGTTCAAATCTGTCAAATGTGAAACATAAAGGTGAAAAAAGAGGTGGTGGAGGAGGTGGAGGAAGTAATAATAAATTTAACTTTCGTGCACCTCAGCAATTTCAGATTTCAAAGAAAAAAAATTGGAATAAAAGACACCTTAAGGGTTTATACGGTTGTAGTGCAACCGTATCAGGCAACTGTGGTACTGCTGGAGCATTGGTGTGCAGTGGCGGCGCTTTAACTCATTTGCAAATTAGTAAGGCTGATGTTGAAAACTTACCAAATATAAAAAATCAAATATCGCACCATCGGCAGGGTGGCTGCAATAATTCTGGCCAAAAAAATATGAAGCAACAACAAAGTTATGCTAAAAAAAAAATATTAAGTGGTGTGGGAGGAGGTATTTTATCAATACGATCAAAGTTTTTTCTTTCTGATAAAAGGCCAAGGAAGGAATGCATTATTCCACCAACGAAATTTTTATTAGGTACGTGTTTATATATAAATTATCAACTTCAAGTTTTTACTAAATTTTATTTTGTATTTATATAAATTTTTTATTTTAAGGTGGAAATATTTCTGATCCGCTTAATTTAAATAGCTTGCAAGAAGAAGCGCAAAGTGGGAATGCGACGCCTTCTACAACTCCTCGTCAATCTCCTGTTACAACACCGCCAAAAATTGAAGTTATAATACCACCAAATATACATGATCCTTTACATCTTTTGGATCCTGTTGATTCTATTGAATATGAAAAACAATTAGTTTCACCAATGAAGCGTAGGCATCGTCATCGAAAAAAGAAACCCAAAAGAAAGAGATTAATTTCTAATGCTTCTGGGATTAGTATGCTCTCAACATCTGCTGAATTAAATTTTGCAAGTGCATTATCAAATATTTTAAAAACTGAAAAAGAAGGTCAAAACAGTAATGTTGAAATTATTTCAAATAAAAATTGCGATCTAAAGAACAATAATAACCATGATAATTATAATGAAACAAAAGATTTAGAAGTTCAAATCGAAGATAATGAAAAAAATGAAAATTTTAACGTATCAATTAATACAAAAGGTACGTTGTGTGCCAACTCGTTAGAAAATGAAATTGATATCAACGAAACATCCAGTTTTCCAATTGATAAACGCCGGAATGAGAAAATTGATAAAATTTCAAAAGAATTGAAACTTGATTTAGAACTTAGTGCAGAGCAACATAAACAAAATATGATGAACTCTGGAAGGAAAAGAAAATCTAGTGAAGCGGGATCTTGTAAAACTAAAGTGAGTAGTATACATATTATATTCGAAAACAATTTATAAATGTGTATAAAATCATAAACAATAAATTTTAGTTTCGAAGAATTGATAGCATGGATAAAATTGTTAGCCCAGTGGTACCACAACCAGGTGCATGGAAAAGGCCACCGAGGAACACACCAACCGGAGCTAGAAAGAGTGCTAGAATTAGATCAGTATCAAATTCTGAAACTGATTTGATTAGTCCAACTGACGATTCCAAAACAGGGCCTGGTAATAGTTTTCTAAATTATTTAATTTCCAATAATTATTTTGTAATTTTGAAGGTCAAAAAGCGGCTGAAGACAGTGTTCTTAATAAAACTGAGACAGAAAATAAGAGTTTAAATAATTTGCTAGGAGCATTACCAACTGTCCAGGAAACAGACGAACAAAACGAGCAAAAAGGGGAACAAATGTTACAGTCATCTTTGCCGAAATTTAAATCCGATGGAGCAAAATATCAATATGGGAACTATGATCGCTACTCCGGATTTAATACTGTTAATGAATTTATAGATATACGTTTACAAGTATTTCAACGAAATGCAGATTTATTTGTTAACAAAGATGTCCTTGATATCGGTTGTAATGTTGGACATATGACAATTGCAGTTGCTAAAAAATTGTCACCGAAATCTATTTTAGGAATTGATATTGATCCTAAATTAATATCTAGAGCGAGAAGAAATATATCTCTTTATGTAAGAATACCGAAAGAAGATGATGAATCTCTTAAAACACCAGGAAACAATTCTAATGCATTTTCTATAAGTGTTCCAGTTGCTGCAGAAGATGTTAAGAATGCTTTGGAACAAAAGCTGGACGCATTAAGTTTTAAGGAAGTTTTTAAAAAAAGGCTGGAGGAACTCCAAAAAAGCTCTGCTGAAAATAATAAAAAAATTTCAAAGTCAAAATTAAAACGTAAAATTTATTTTGAGATAAAAAGGAAAAACAAAATAATTCAAAGTCAAAAATACGCTGAACAGCGTCGAATAGATGGGAGTTCCCTGGAAATATTTCCCATCTCATTCCCAATATGTTATGGCGCTATACCTTCTCTTGAACAAGCAAGACTCGTATTACATAACTCACCTTTAACTAATACTGTAGAAAATTATGGTAGCAATAGTACAGGTTCAAGCGGTGGTGGTGGAAATATAAATTTAAATGTCGGTATTTCTAGTTCAGGAACAAATAATCATAGCAACAATAGCGCAAATGCAACTCCAGCTCGCAGCCTGGGTGCAGGTGGAACTACTGGTGCTGGAAGTAGTATAACAGTCATAAAGTCAATAAGAAATAATTTTCCAAAAAATGTCTTTTTCCGTCAATGTAATTATGTTTTAAACGATGAAAATTCAGTAAATAACGAGCAACAGCAATATGATTTAATTTTGTGCTTATCAGTTACAAAGTGGATACATTTGAATTTTGGGGATAATGGTTTAAAATTAGCTTTTAAGAGGATGTTTAACCAATTGAGACCTGGTGGAAAATTAATTCTGGAAGCCCAAAATTGGGCTAGTTACAAAAAAAAGAAAAATTTAACAGTAAGATATAAATTTTCGTCAAAGCTACATTAGATTAATATATTAATTTTATTCCAGGAAACTATTTATAAGAACTATAATAGTATTGAATTTTTTCCAAATAAATTTCATGAATATTTACTGAGTAATGAAGTAGGGTTTAGTCATAGTTATACGTTAGGAGTACCAAGGCATATGAGCAAAGGATTTTGTCGACCAATTCAGGTTGGTGTTAAGTAAAAATATGAATATATATTTAGAGATAACACAGATTCTTTATTGATTTCATACATAATTTAAAAAATTTGTAGCTATACGCAAAAGGAGATTTTACACCAAATCATGTTCGCTGGAGCGACGCACATTATCCACAAACACCATATGAAGCTTATCGTGGCATTTATGCCAGTGTACCAAGGCCACCTTATCCATTATGGGGTAGTTGGGATTTAAACCGCACACCACGTGGAAATTCTTCAAGCTGTCGTCAAACACCATATTACAATCCGTTAGAAACAGATTCTTATTTACCGAGTTATGATACTGAAGTTTTAAATCGTCATTATGTATTCGCTTCACCACTTTATCAAACAGTATGGTCACCTCCAGCCAGCCTTCGAAATTCATCATCTCATACACCTGTTTTTGGAAGTGTACGAGAAGTCGATAATGATAGCACCAGTGGTGGAAGTAATAATAGACCACGACATGTTTATTTACCAAATGATGAATCCCAATCTCCAAAAATCGTTAATGGCGCATTTAACAGTATACGTGAAGAAGCTGAACAAGACAGTAATAGTCCTGCCAGGCAGCATGTTTACGCCAATTGTGATTCATCATCGTCGCCACATGATGGTGGCTCAGATAATGATCAAATTTTAACAAGTGTTGCTTCTAATGTTACCGCAAATAACACTATGGCTAATAATATTGCTGAAAGATCTCAAGAAATTGTTAGCGATTCAAACGACTCGGAAACAATATAAAAAAAAGTTGAATGTTAAATATTTTTTTATATATATTAGTTAACTAATGTTTGTTTTTCCATTATTATGTACAGTTTCTTCGTAATTTTAACAGAAAAACATATAATCACGTTTAAATAAACTTTTAAATTAAGAAATGAAGTTACCACATTAACGATTAAAAACCTTTTTTTTTTTGGAAATTAAATTTTTAATTGAATTAAGAATGAGTAAACATTGAATTAAGAATGAGTAAATTATAAAATATTACAATTAATTATAAATAAAAAAAAAAAACAAATCTGTGATTTGAAAAATATATATAACTTTATTCAATAAAAAAATTAGATATATGTTTGTATATATTTAAAACGTGTTTATTCAATTCAGAAATTTTATGTTCGGCTGTTTGTGTGTGTTATACGAGTATATATAATTGAACCATGTTTCTAGTTTATTTACAAGCAACAAAAGTTATTTTACCTGAAAAAATAACAAACTAAAATTAGCTACTTAAATTAGTTTATTACAAAAAATATAATTTATTATAGAAAACATCAGAATTTGAAGCTTCGCAAATTTAATTCATTTTAACTTGTGCTTTGAGTCAATAATCTGGGGGCGAATTCATCATAATAAACGTATTTTAATAGTTTTATACTTAAAAAATAACCAATTCTCGATATTTGAAAGAAATTGCTTTTAAATTGTGGTAGAATATTGCATATAATATTGTAAATAAGAAATTTTGAGGATATTTTTAATGGACAAATGAAAAAGTTAATTATTGTTTTTCATTAGATTACAAAAAACAACTTTTGCTTTTTCACTTTTCTTTAGACCGTAATCAGCGTCCCTTAAACATTTATAGAAACAGCATACAATTGAAATTGTTTACTACGTACATACATAAAATTTGGTTTTATTTAACACAAATACCACATTGATTATTTTTTAAGACATGAAAAATTTAAAATATTTTTTAAAATTACCTTTTCATTTTATATCCTTAATTATGTATATGCTGTATGTTCACACCGGCAATATGAAATTTATCTGAAAGTAATTTGAAGTGCGTTATAAAATGTTTTAATGTATGTGTGTACATAAAACATAAAATTCATAGAAAAAAGTAAATATGTACAGAGATCGAAATTTGAATTTAAAAATGAGTGTTCCAAATTAAATTTTTAAAAACAAATCTGCTGTATGCATCTTCATTGTATCGGTAAATAACTGAATACTACATAATTGCATTCTATTCTACTTCTTTGAATTATAAATGTAAATTGCGTGGAAAAAATAAATACAAAATATTTTGCTGGTTTGTATTTTTAATAATTTTTTATGGAACATTTTAAAACTAACAATTTCCGTTTATATTTTGAGTTTTTCTTTTTTACAGATGATATACGCAACTTACATTTTAGATAAATGTATGTACATAAATGCATATGTATGACATATAACTCAATTTTATTCTTTTTGAACAATTAAATCTAATAAAGATTAAAAGAATAAGTGTACAATGCATGTTGTATTTATTGTTTTCAAACAATGTTCAACAAATATTTTATTCAATTTTATTAAAAGTATTGATCCATTAATTTTTTAATGAATATTTTTATGGATTATTATAATCTTAAATAAAATTAAAATTAAAAAATTTTCGATTTCTGTTTTGAATTCAGAAAGACCTATCAACCCTTATAATCATTGAATTTTCATATAGGGGCGAAATTATTCATCATTTCAATGTTAGTTAAGTTGCAAAAGTATTTTAATAACTCGTCTTACCTATTCAAGTAAGTTAACAAGATCCCCATCTCCTATACTTTTCTGAAAAAACAAAAAAAAAACTGATTTGGTATTTTAATTTTCTAAAAAAGTTAAGATAAAGATTTTCATATTTTTTAACATTTTTCAGCAGGACCTATTTTGGAGAATTTTGGTCGTTGTTGCGGTTTTATGTATCATACCACATAATCAACCTCTTATTTTTCATCACTAATTTTTGTTATTTAAAAATTTTCTTTTTTTTTCTTACCTTGTAAAAACTTGTGACAAATGCTTTTGGCTTCTTATTTTTAAATCTGAAATTGAGAAAAAAAAATGACAATGTACATAAGTAATGTAATTTATTATATGTATTTCTTAAAAATGAAGATTTTATAATAAAATATAATATTCAGCCATATATAGCGTTGGTATTGAACAAATTCTCTTCATAGCTTTATCAAAGCGAGCTGGGTAAGTTGTCATCACTATATTTTAATAATTTTATTGACGTACATATGATTCATATTGTTTTTAAATATTTTTTGATAGTGGTATAATCAAATTTGCAAAAAAAATCTAATTCTATTCATTTTCTATTATTGCAGTAAGGAAGGCTTTGTGATGGCAAAAAAAATTCGCCGAGTCGAGTATTTAATAGCAATGCATTTATCCTTAATGGAAAAACATAAACAAACTAAATAGGGGGGGGGTATATCTGGTCCTAGTAACTGAACCTTTAACTACGAAGGATTTTACATTTTTTGATTATCTAAATATAAGAAAATACTAAAAAGATTTTCTTTAAATTTCCTATTAAAAATAAAAATATATTTGAATTACCTTTTTTCTTGCATTATGTTTTCGCTATTTTCTCCGTCTGTTCCCAATTTTTGTTTTAATTGCATAGGCATCTAAGCCATACGAATTTTATCTAGAAGTAAAAAATTTGTAAAAATATTAAAATTAAATATTATATATTATATTTAATAAATATTTTTTAAATATTTATTAAATATTTGAAAAAAAAAGAAAATACATATGTATGTAGTTTTCACGAAATTTTATTTATATTTGTAAATTTTGGGTGTTTTTTAGAAAACTTTCAAGTGAAGGATAAAATATTACAGTATCAAAAGTATTTTGTATTAAAATCCTTTGTAGCCGCCGCACAAGTAAAATAAAAATTTCGAAATTTTTTTCTGCCTTTTCATTTTTGAAAATTAATTTAAATTAAAAAAAAAAACAGTTATGTATTCAGAAAGACCTATCAACCCTTATAATCACTGAATTATCATATAGGGGCGAAATTATTCATCATTTCAATGTTAGTTAAGTTGCAAAATTATTTTAAAACTTGTCTTACCTATTCAAGTAAGTTATAAAATCCCCATCTCCTATACTTTTCTGAAAAAAAAAAAAAAACTGGTTTAGTATTTCAATTTTCTAAAAAAGTTAAGATAAAGATTTTCATATTTTTTAACATTTTTCAGCAGGACCTATTTTGGAGAATTTTGGTCGTTGTTGCGGTTTTATGTATCATATCACATAATCAACCTCTTATTTTTCATCACTAATTTTTGTTATTTAAAAATTTTCTTTTTTTTTCTTACCTTGTAAAAACTTGTGACAAATGCTTTTGGCTTCTTATTTTTAAATCTGAAATTGAGAAAAAAAAATGACAATGTACATAAGTAATGTAATTTATTATATGTATTTCTTAAAAATGAAGATTTTATAATAAAATATAATATTCAGCCATATATAGCGTTGGTATTGAACAAATTCTCTTCATAGCTTTATCAAAGCGAGCTGGGTAAGTTGTCATCACTATATTTTAATAATTTTATTGACGTACATATGATTCATATTGTTTTTAAATATTTTTTGATAGTGGTATAATCAAATTTGCAAAAAAAATCTAATTCTATTCATTTTCTATTATTGCAATAAGGAAGGCTTTATAATGGCAAAAAAAATTCGCCGAGTCGAGTATTTAATAGCAATGCATTTATCCTTAATGGAAAAACATAAACAAACTAATTAGGGGGGGTATATCTGGTCCTAGTAACTGAACCTTTAACTACGAAGGATTTTACATTTTTTGATTATCTAAATATAAGAAAATACTAAAAAGATTTTCTTTAAATTTCCTATTAAAAATAAAAATATATTTGAATTACCTTTTTTCTTGCATTATGTTTTCGCTATTTTCTCCGTCTGTTGCCAATTTTTGTTTTAATTGCATAGGCATCTAAGCCATACGAATTTTATCTAGAAGTAAAAAATTTGTAAAAATATTAAAATTAAATATTATATATTATATTTAATAAATATTTTTTAAATATTTATTAAATATTTGAAAAAAAAAGAAAATACATATGTATGTAGTTTTCACGAAATTTTATTTATATTTGTAAATTTTAGGTGTTTTTTAGAAAACTTTCAAGTGAAGGATAAAATATTACAGTATCAAAAGTATTTTGTATTAAAATCCTTTGTAGCCGCCGCACAAGTAAAATAAAAATTTCGAAATTTTTTTCTGCCTTTTCATTTTTGAAAATTAATTTAAGTTAAAAAAAAACAGTTATGTATTCAGAAAGACCTATCAACCCTTATAATCACTGAATTATCATATAGGGGCGAAAATATTCATCATTTCAATGTTAGTTAAGTTGCAAAATTATTTTAATAACTCGTCTTACCTATTCAAGTAAGTTAACAAAATCCCCATCTCCTATACTTTTCTGAAAAAACAAAAAAAAAAAAAAAAAAAAACTGATTTAGTATTTTAATTTTCTAAAAAAGTTAAGATAAAGATTTTCATATTTTTTAACATTTTTCAGCAGGACCTATTTTGGAGAATTTTGGTCGTTGTTGCGGTTTTATGTATCATATCACATAATCAACCTCTTATTTTTCATCACTAATTTTTGTTATTTAAAAATTTTCTTTTTTTTTCTTACCTTGAAAAAACTTGTGACAAATGCTTTTGGCTTCTTATTTTTAAATCTGAAATTGAGAAAAAAAATGATAATGTACATAAGTAATGTAATTTATTATATGTATTTCTTAAAAATGAAAATTTTATAATAAAATATAATATTCAGCCATATATAGCGTTGGTATTGAACAAATTCTCTTCATAGCTTTATCAAAGCGAGCTGGGTAAGTTCTCATCATTATATTTTCAAATAATTTAAATTTTAAAATATTTTTTATTTACCTAGTATAAAAATTATTTCCCAAACATTAACCCAATGGAAGGTTACAGTATGCAGTAATACAGAACGTAGAACCTAAAAAAATCAAAATATTAATTTTGAATGATTTGTTAATTAAATATTTTGAACAGAAATGTTATGAATTTTGTAACTACATATTAATTTTTGTTTTCTCTGTAATAGTTTGAAGAGTTTTACACCATTTTATGTTCGAAATTTTAGAAAAAAAAAAGAAAAACATTTTGATGAAAAAATTCAAAAAATTCTTATTTTAAATAAAAGTTACAAGAACTATTAAAAAGTTAAAATTACTAGAAAATAGACTGAAATTGGTAAGTTCCGTATTATATTATATTATTTTATGTATTATAATATTTTATGTATGTATTTGACTCTTTGAATATCGCTTAATTTATGTCGTCTGGCTGCCGCATTTAAAAACAATACATTGCAGCGTAAACGAAATATAGAATTAGCTCTTAAAAAAAATAATAGCAGTACCTAAAGTTAAATTTTGCTTTAAATTTGCTTGTAAACATTGATTGTGAGTACTTAATTCAAAATAACATTTTTCGGCTTTAATACTTTTTCAAATCAAATAGACCATGCGCCAAAGCTAATAAAAAAAAAAAAAAAAAATCGAATTAAAAAAATTTCATCTTGTAAAGGTATTAAAGAAAAATAAAATTATTTTAATATAACAATATCAGTACTGATTTTTCAAACATATTCGCAATTCAGCGACGAAAAATAAATAAAACATCATTTTAGTATAAAGAAAAAAATGATTACACTCACCTTATTAACATAAAAGCAATTTCGTTTGATTTTTTGAAATACTGAAACTATTCTGGAAAATTAAGTTTTTTATCGTAAAATTAGAATTCAAAGAAAATACATATTATTAAAATAGACATACATAGCTATTTTCTATTTTATATTCTATAAATTTAAGTATTAACAAATATGAATAGGTTTGTTTCTCATTTTTTTACAACTTAAATATAAAAATTACTTTAATACAATAATCAAGTATATGTAAAAACAAAAAATCCATGTTATCTTATATAAAATAAAGTTGACTTAAGAAATAAATTTCAAATTTCTTAATGATTTTCTTAAGTTATATTTTTGCGATCTAAAAGTATTTATTTTGGTAACTTATATTTTAAGGTCTATTAATTTTGCATTGTTGATCTTGTACTGAAACTTAAATGCAATTTGCGCATGAAGATTTTTAAAATAAAATCATTCATCTTCTTCCTTATCCTTTTCTTTATTCTTTTTCTTCTTTTTCTTTTTCTCTTTCTTTTCACCATTTTCCAATTCCTCTACCAAACTACTATCAGCTATATTAGAAATTTCTCCTTCTTTTTCATTATCATCTTGATCCTTTTTACGTTTCTTTTTCTTTTTCTTTTCAGAGATGTCAACTGAACTTAGCATTGTTGAATCCAAAGTTGAATCTGCGTTAACTGCATTACTTCCCTCACTTAACTTACGCTAAAAAAAATTAAGTAGTGTTTCAATATTTTTGCTTTAAATACATACATTAATTGACATTAAGTTAATTGAAAAATTACTTTTTTTTGCTTTTCATTTTCTATTGATGGTTCACTTGTTCGCTCCTTTTGTGACTTATTATAATCAACATATCCAGTTAACCATTCTTTAGGTGTGTTTTCATTTGGTCTACCATACTTATCTAATTTACCGGCAGCAATCAAAGCTTTCTTCGCTGATGCTTTTGGACCCAATCCCCACTTCCTGGGATAAACGTCACGTTCCATTATAACACGTTTAATTTTTGCGACCACACCATGATCACAAGATGCCATTGTAGAAGTTGTCATTAAAGCAATAGCTAAAGCAATAGCTTCTCCTTTTGTAGTAACTATAACAATTTCTTGGTCTATTTCAATGCCATCCTCGTATCTCAGCACTCCAGGTAACATTATTTTGGCACCATAACAAACTGCATTTACCTAAGTTAGAAAAAAAAGTTCAAGTTATTTTAAAATGGAATGCCAAATTAAATATAATTAAATTTTGGAATGCCAAAATTTTTTTGTTAGAATGTAATTACAAACCGAACTGTCTTTCATTATGATTCTTTTATGCCCAGTTAAAAGTCCCTCCAATGGCTTTATTACTCGTCTTAACATTGATTCATCTTTATGATTTTCGTACAAATATTGCGCATCAAGTACATCATGCATTGTTACCATTTCATCTCTCTCAGTTTGAATACCTGATCTTACACGTCTAAGTTCTAACATCTGTCCACCAACACCAAGTACAAGACCCAAATGCACACATAGTGTGCGAATATATGAGCCTGCTTCACAACTAACCCAAAATACACCTTTAGTATGCAGCAGTATTTTTTATTTTAGAAAGTAGGATTCGTAATGAAAGGATGTGTAAAAATAGGGAGGGGGAAAAATAAGAAAAACAAAAATAAAATAAATTTTTGGGTGCTCTAGCAATTTTTCTGATTTTGTGAAAAAACTTAAATTTTAAATTAAAAAAAATTTAAGTTTGATCTATTTTGCTTATTTTCAGTAAATTTATATGAAAAAACATACCCATATTTCGCTGTTCATCGTAATCACATATTTTACTGTCATAAATTGTTCTGACTCTTAATTCTCTTTTAACAGCTGAAATTAATGGTGGCCTTTGGAAAAGAGCACCTCTTAATTTTTCTAGCCCTTGTTTAATTTTTAAAAGTGAGTCGACCTGCGAATGAAGTTTAAAAACAGCAACATATTCTTTACCAGCGCTCTGTTGAGATTTAACAAGCCGAGTAGCACGATCAATACAAACAATTAAGCATCCTGCAAAAAAATTTAAATTTCAGTATTTATGTACATATGTATATATTATTGAAATTCATATTAATGAATTCACAAGAAAAAAATTAAAATACACCAAAGCAATGACATATTGAAAAAGAACCTTTTTTAGACTACTGTTTTAATTTATAAAAACTTATTTTACTTGATAAAGAAAATAAAAAATAAAGTTAATTTTTAGTTTTCTTTCTTTCAGCAGCAAAAAATTTAAACTATACTCTTTTAAATCCTTTCTTGAGGCTTGAATTTTTGTCCTGAAAAAATATATGTCCTATATGTCCTGAAAAAATATATGTCACTACATAACTTCCATAACACGTTTTTATGTTTTGCTGAACAGGTAGCATAAATGTTATGAGAAACATTTTACTGTTTTCCAGCAAAATTAATATAGCATTAATTTTGATCAGTAATATATTAATATTACTAAATTTACAGGTTTAATGCAAAATAATCTTGTAAAACAACTTGTAGTCACTTGCAAATGTAAGCAAAAAAAAATGTGTAGATAGGTAAACCTAAATAATCATTTTTAAATTTTTTTTTTTAAATAATAAATCAACGCGTCATAATACAATTAGACGAATGAGTATATAGTGTGCAAGCAAATAATTGATAGAGGTAGCGTAGCATTCCTAAGTAGATTCTATGCAGGTAGCCATTACTAGATTAACATCTAAATAAAAACTTAAATGTGTCTTGTAATAAACCTTAACTAACTTTAATTAAATAAAATTAGTTTACACAATCAAGATAGAATTTATGTTCCCAATCTGGACCACGCTTACAGCCATGGGAATTGCTAGAGCGTCGGCTTAAATCATGGGGTAACACGTTTTTATTTTGAGGTTAGTTACCTACCTGTAACCTTAGGGTCCAATGTGCCCGAATGCCCTGTCTTTTCAACTTTCAATATTCTTTTGATCCAAGCTACAACTTCATGTGAACTAGGATTTGATGGTTTATCTAGATTAATGAATCCAGATTTCACATACTCTTTAATATTTCTATTCAATGGGGATGAGCCAAAAGGTAAAGGTGTATAATGGTTTGTCCGAACATTAAGTCTATCAAAGTTTTTTAACAATAGTGGCCATTGAGATGTATCTAATTTTGAAATTGCTTCCGATGGTTTTATTTGAAAGTCTCCGCTTTTTTGAATTTCACCTAAATCATCAAGCGGTTCTTCCTTAATTTTTTTTTTCTTCTTTTCTTTTTTAATTTCTGTAAATCGAGTAATTTTAATCAAATTTCAAATTATATTTAACGTTATAAATTACCTATTTCCATACTTTATATTTTTATATTTTTTAATATTTTCTGCTTTTTAATAAACTTAACTTTATCTTCAGCTAACTGCTATGTGGATGCGATAGTCAGTAATCTTACTCTTTAAAAAAGGGATATGAATGACAAAAATAAAAAATAAAGCCGCCTTCCGCTGTTTTATCACGTGGTAAAAATTCTACTATTACATTTTCCGCAAATCTTTTACTAAAAAAAGTGTTATATTTTTATACATATTTACTCCGATTTATACCTATGCAATTCTTACTTTGGCACTTTAATTATCTTTTTATATTAAATATAGCTGGAATAAAAACCACACTATAATTATTATGATGTACAATGTACATACTTGTCTCCGAAAAATAATAGGCTCCAACACGATATTAAAAAATAACTGAGTTAAATTTTAATAAAATATCCCATGTCTAGTTTTAAAATAACTTGAATGAAAAATAACTGAGTTATTTTTTGACAACGTCAAAGTATATTTTAAAATTAATAAGACTTATCCAAAAATACAATAATTCTTGATGACAAAAAAACCTCACGAGACGAAGTATATTATTAACTCTTGGTTAATTGATCTTCCACAAAGGTTCTTTTATCATAAGCTTTATTTATGATTATGATAAAATTTTATCAAAAATTTTGTCAAAAATTTTATCGTTGGAAGAAATAAAACTTTTCGTACCTAAAAAATATAAATTTACCAACATTTTTTTTAAACAAAACTGTTAAAGCTAGTTTTTTTATGTTAAAATGGTCAATGTTTAAAGCATTCGCAACGCAATGTGGAATCTCTTTATCAATGTTTAGTTAATTTATTAGGCCATGCTTTAACATACATAGTTATATTGTACTGAATAATTTCAAATGAAATTTGATGTTGACACTGACGTTTAATAATAACAAAATTCATAGCAACTTTGGTTTCGGTTAGGAGATACGACACAAATATTATTTAAAATAAAACTTTAGAATATCAAATAAAAATGATTTTAAATATAGATGGACTAAAAGTTCTTTTTCCATATGAATACATATATCCGGAACAATATTCATATATGCTGGAGCTGAAAAAAGCACTTGATGCTAAAGGGCATTGTGTTTTAGAAATGCCATCGGGGACCGGCAAAACAGTAACGTTATTATCTCTGATTGTTGCATATATGATAAATAATCCAGATGAAGTAAGGAAATTGATATATTGTTCTCGAACGGTGCCCGAAATAGAAAAAGTTATAGCAGAATTGAAAAATTTAATATGCTACTATAGGAGACATGGAAGTAATAGAATAGAAGATGTGATTGCGTTGGTTTTGAGTTCACGGAAAAATTTATGCATCCATCCAGAAGTTAATAAAGAACTTGAAGGTGAATCTGTAGATGCAAGATGTCATGGTTTAACAGCTAGTTATGTTAGACTACGGCATGAGAATGATAGTAGTGTACCATTATGTCAGTATTATGAAGGATACACTTCAGAAGGAAAAGAAATGATAATACCGGCTGGAGTATATAGCATAGACGATTTGAAGGAATTTGGTAGATATAAAAATTGGTGTCCGTACTTCACAGCCAGATGTGCTGTCAATTATGCAAATATTGTTGTATATAGTTACCATTACCTATTGGATCCTAAAATAGCTGGTGTTGTGTCGAAAGAATTAGCTAAAGAATCTGTAGTTGTATTTGATGAAGCCCACAACATTGACAACGTTTGTTTGGATGCAATGAGTGTAAAGATCAATAAACGAACAATAGAAAAAAGCACAACGGCTTTAAATAATTTGGACAAGTGTGTTCAAGATGAAGATAACATAACAAGATTAGCAGAAGAATACCACAGGATGGTAAAAGGTTTAAAGGATGAAAAAATAGCTAGAGAAACTGATATGATATTAGCCAACCCACTCTTACCGCAGGATATTTTGCATGGCGCTGTTCCTGGAAATATTCGTCGAGCGGATCATTTTTTGAGACTCCTTCGCCGTGTTATTGAGTACATCAAAACTAGATTAAGGGTTCACCAGGACACACAAGAATCTCCAGCTTCTTTTTTAAAAGATGTTTCAAATAAAGTTTGTGTAGATCGTAAAACACTGCAGTTTTGTGCTGAGAGACTAGCAAGCTTATTAAGGACGTTAGAAGTAACGGATATGAGAGAAATAAGTGCACTAGTAGTTATAACATATTTTGCAACATTAGTTTCAACATACACTCAAGGGTTCAAAATAATAATAGAACCGAATGATAATAAAGCGCCTTCTGCTTCAAGCCCAGTTTTATATTTCAGTTGTTTAGATTCATCAATAGCCATAAGTCCAATATTTAAACGTTTTCAATCTGTTGTAATTACATCTGGTACTCTCTCCCCTATGGATATGTATCCAAAAATATTAAATTTCCTTCCAGTAAGAATGTGTTCTTTTACAATGACTTTAGCGAGACCATGTGTTCTTCCAATGATAATATCCAAAGGAAACGACCAAGTTACAATAACATCTAAATTTGAAACAAGAGAAGATACAGCAGTTTTACGAAATTATGGTCAATTATTAGTTGAAACGGCAAAAATTGTACCAGATGGAGTAGTATGCTTTTTTACTTCGTATTTATATTTAGAATCAGTGGTTGCGTCATGGTATGATCAAGGAATAGTTGACACGTTATTAAAATATAAGTTATTATTTATAGAAACTCAAGATAACGCTGAAACTAGTTATGCTCTAATGAATTATATAAAAGCTTGTGACTGTGGTCGCGGAGCAGTATTGTTAGCAGTGGCAAGAGGAAAGGTATCAGAAGGTGTAGATTTTGATCATCATTATGGTCGTGCTGTTCTTATGTTCGGAATACCTTATGTTTATACACAATCAAATGTCTTAAAAGCTCGACTTGAATATTTACGTGATCAATTTCAAATTCATGAAAATGATTTTCTTACATTTGATGCTATGAGACATGCTGCGCAATGCGTTGGAAGAGCTTTGCGTGGCAAAACAGATTATGGCATTATGGTATTTGCTGATAAAAGGTTTGCTCATCCAGATAAAAGAAATAAATTACCAAAGTGGATACAGGAACAATTAAAAGATAGCTATATAAATTTGAGTACGGAGGGAGCTATGAAAATAGCAAGAAAGTGGTTAAAATATATGGCGCAACCATTTCAACGAGAAGATCAGTTGGGTATTTCTTTATTAACTTTGGAACAATTAGAAAAAAAACAAAAAGAAAAACTAGAAAAAGAACAATCAAAAGACAATGTGGAAGAACCTATAATCATCGATTTAATTGAATAAACTCACATATGTATGTAATATATGTAAAAACTAAAAAATATATGTAACGTATGTAAGTTTTTCCAGATCTTTTCATTTATTGAATTTATTAGGCATCGTACAAATTCAAATTTAAAGCTGTATATTTAAGTATGCCAATCACACTCACTTGTCAGAAGGAACCTATTCATTATCAGAAATAAAATAGACAAATTAACGTTAATTAATTTCTATTAATTATATTTTTAAATAAAACTTTAATGCTAAGTTTTAATTTAAATAATTCTTAAATAATTTTTAAAATAATGATACAAGAATTATATAATACAACATTTACGTGCTTTTTTTTTAAGAAAATTTAAAATAATGCAATTTTTATACGTCATACAATTATGTTCCTATCTTTCAATTGAACTGAAAATTAAATTTATTTAGTTATCAAAATTTTTAATAGAAAAGTCAATTATTTCAACTAGACATCGGCCCAATTCCTCTAAAATCATACGTTCGGTTGTTTTCGCCGAAACTTCCCCTTTTTGACATTCATCAGCTTGAGCTATCATACATTGTATGGTAGCATCAACAACATCTTGTGTTATAAAATTATAAGCTTGCTTTGCTGGGGGTCCATTTCCCGTTTGGGTTAAAGCCGATAAAGTATCGTTATATGTGGTGTTGTTGCTCCCAATTACGTTGGGAGCTTTACTTCCAAGTGCATTTGCAGAATTATGAATACTTAATCCACCACCGCCAATATCATCGAGAGGCCGTTTCAAAGCAACACCACGGCTAAAAGGTTTTGAATTTTTTGTTACACTAGTTATATCTATACCAGCTCGATCTTCCACGTTCCGGCAACCTAGAGAAATATATTTGATTTTAAAATTTATAATGTTTTAAATTTAGGAGATATTACCAATGCATTTACAATTAGATGAACATGCAATTTTTGCTTCATAGCATTCACAATAATTTTTTAAACAACCTGATCGTTTACAATTACACCCTTTATTATGCAAGCGCAGATCATTATGATCGCGGGCTTTTGTTATTTTAGGCCTGAAAAAAAAAAATTCATTAAAAAAATAGAAGTAACGAATTTTTCAACATTCAATTATTTTACATAATATTTGCGCTATAGCTATTTATGAATATATTAATATTAAATTAAAGCAAGTCTAAAGCAATACAAAACAAGATAGCTTTAGGCCTTTCCAATTTTTGTGTTGCTATGACACTGGAGAATCGTCATGATGACTAGATTACATTTTGCATTAAATTGAAAAATATTTTCAAAATATCTGTGTATGTAGATTTAATAAAAATATACTAAAACTAGCTTACTTGAAAGCAGCTGGGTTTCTTTCAAGACACATTTTTATTGCTTTTTGCCTTTCATCTTCATATTCTAAATTGTTGAAACATTCTTTACAATTGCAGTCCTGACAAAATTCGCCGTTTGCAAAACAGTCACAATATAATTTTAAACATTGAGATTTTGTACAATTGCAATGTTTTCGTCTTAGTCCACCGTCGTTGCTGGGACTAGGTGAACGAGTTCTTGATCCAGAATAAGGTTGTGGCAAACTCGATGGAAGCTGCGCTGGAGCAGATGAGGTAGTACTATTTACAACTTTCTCTTGAATATTCTGCGAACTTGGTTTCAAAACGCTGTAAAGTTTCTGAGATGATTCTGAACCCTTTATAATAGTATGAGATCCTGTAATCGGAACTAGTTTCTTAGGCGAGATTTTAATATTTGGTACAGCGGGTCTATTTAAATTTGTTGATGACACAATTCCACTTATTTGGTCTTTCTTATACAATATATGCTGTTTCTGCTGATTGCTAAAATTACTACTGCAACTGCTTACACTTAAATTCCCAGCGAGTCGTCCTAGATTATTTAAAATTCTTGGTTTTTGAACAATGTTTGGCTGAAGTGACGAGGCTGAAGATATTGAACTCTTCTGCTTTAATCTTGCATTTAATTGTTCCACCTCCTCTTTTTTTACTGTTATAATTTTACTACTTGCAGAAATTAAAGAGCTTTCATTGATTTTCTTTAATGTAGGTACGGTAATTAATTTATGTTGATTTAACTGTTCTTGTGTCAATTTATTTGGATTTTCTTTCACAATTATTGTTTTTCCATCCAAAAGTGGTTGTTGATTTACTCTTGTTACCATGCGCATATGGCCATCTTGATTTTTTACAAAAACTTTGGTTGGGCTTAAACTCTCTTTGTTCACGCCCGCGTTCAGTACACGAACATATTGTACTGGTCCACCAGATTTACTAGATAATTGTAATGTTTGCACATTTCCCGATCCAGTTGATGTAGACGGTGATAGTTTTATAAATTTATGCGAATTTAATTTTTGTATCGATGGTGTTCCTACTGTATCTTCCGATTTTTTATTGCTGTCAGTTCTAACCACAAGTTTATTGCCAATATTCACAATTGTCGATGAATTAGTTAAATATTTAGATTTATCTCCTGAAATTGGTACGGCTCTCATTATATGTTGTTTTTGAACTTGGTCTGAAACTATTGCCGATGCCGGAGATTTCATGACCGTGGTTGTGGTAGTGCTTCCAGTAATGGAAGCACTTTTATTTAATAAAACTGTCTGGCCACCACCCGTTGTCAAAATTTTTTTTCCTGCTATATTAACATTACTTAAATTTATTTGCTTATTAGATTTTATGGGTACTATGGTTCCATCACTTTTTCTAATAACTTGAACCGCAACTTGCTTAGTTGTATTATCTGAAATATTTTCTTATAATAAAAAAACTAACTACACATAATTTAATATTTACTATTATTTGAAGCTAATCGTACTGGAACGGCAGAACCACCTCCTGGTTGAATCAGAATGTATTGTCCTGTCACGCGATCTTTTGCTATTGTACCTGATATTTGCTTCGTTGGTAATTTAATTTGATTACCAATTTTAATTGTATTACTAGTGACTATTGCGTTTTTTTCTGGTATTGTTTTGTTTTGTCCCATTACTGTTGTATTCACATCTTTTGTATCCGACCTAATAATAATATTTGAATTTTCATTTGTATTGCTTATCGCTGCCTCCTTTATATCACTAACATTCACACTTTCTTTTAAGCCAGTTATATTTTTAATGCTGTTATTTAATGATTCTGCCAGGCTTAATTCTGGATCATTTAAAAGATTCCCGTCTTCTAAAATTAAAATAAAAATCATAAAATTGTTATTCAGTTAATTAAAATATTTAAAAGGATAATATGAAACACTACCAAAACATATAAACCTTTTTAAACTTTCAAATTTTTTTAAAATTTCTGCTTAATAACAAATTTTGTATTTGCATCTTAAACCGCGAAAATTTGAATTTATTTTTTTTTTTTTTTTTGGAAAACTGAAGAAACAAATTTGTTATAATAAACTTATTGAGCCATTCTTGCTTATAGATATACTTTGATAAATCGACATACCTTTATTCATCTTAAATTTTCTTGATTAAAAATATTAGAATACGTATTTTTTTTTTGTTATATTACACTAATGTCAAAATTTTTCTATGAAAAATCACGCGCCCACCATCTTTATTTCAGAAATGTCACTTTATATTATTCTATTCTAGTTTGAATATTTTAACTTTTTTTAAAGTTTGTCAATAATTTAAGACACTTTTTCAAATTTTAATCAAATTAGACAATTAAACTTTGCGCCTTACATTCTTGCTAGCTCCTTTAATATTTTAAGAATAAAATTTACTTGGAAAAAAAGTAAATATTCATTTTAGGAGGGCTTTTATAAAATATAAAAATGAAAATATTTCGTGTTTTGCTAGGTTGGCGTGCATGACTGTCACAATTTTGGAACTTGCCAATCGTCAAAAGTGGGACTTGTTTACAGTCGACGCGAAGACAGAGTACCTAAAAACGTTATTCAAACGTTCATCTGGCACTGTACAGGACGAATGACAACACAATTAGACTTAAGGTTTTTTAAAATATTTTTTTACAAAAAATTTAGTGATTTCTAGCGACAAATTTATAATAGAAGAAAAAAACGATATATTTTTGACTTTTCTGATAAATTAAAAATACTGTAGCAGAAAAAATTCTTCAATGAAAAAAAATTTTTGTTTTAGGTACAAAAAAAGACTAGCAGATTTTTTATTGTTATTTTTATTGCTAATTATTTTTATTGTGTTTTTTCTTTCCTACGCTTCTTTTAGATAGCGTTTGCACATCAAGCAAAGTTTCACGACTTAGCTTGATTGAATGAAAATTTGATAAAAATTTGATGTATAAACATTTATCAAGCAAAATGAGAATTACGAGGTAGAGATTTCAAAATAGAGTTTTATCCTATTTGTATCACACTTTTTGATAGGAATAAAAAATAAAATTAAGAGGTTGTCAGCTGTTTATTGCAAAGTTTTAAAGTTTTTTTTTTTTTTGTATAGGTTGCCAAAGTTGCATCGTCCATTGTTGTCGGTTCCTAAAAGTAGGATTGGCTTTGTGTCATGGTTGGCTCCAGACACTGAGCCGGGTGAAGTGTCTTTTTCACGTTGCTAGTGTACTGGGATTGGGGTCGTGCGGGGTAAAAGTTACACAGATGGCGGCAGGGCATTATGCGTATTATGGAATTGGCTCGAGGGTTGTCTTGTCAGGAAATTTGAGTACAGGCGTTTAAGTCGCAGATTAGCGGGATCTGGGGTGCGGGCTGACCTAAAAAAACTAGTTGGGAGTTTGTTGCCGAATTGAGGGGATTTAGTGTCTATATTTTATTAGAATGTGAGGGGTCTTCGTAATAAAACTAGGGATGTGTTTTTGCTGTCGCAGTCTAGTGCGCATCATGTCGTGGCCCTCACTGAGACGTGGCTTAATAGTGGGTTTTTTAGAGGGGAGCTTTTTTCGTCTCATTTTCAAGTGTTTTCGGCGAATAGGCTGGAAACTGTAGGTTCGAGGGGTGGTGGGGTTCTCTTTGCCGTAAGGTCGACGTTCCTGTCTGAGCTTGTGTCTCTTTCGTTTGACGATGTGTGCAAGAAGAGTGGTGTGGGTTGTTACTGTACCTCTAGTTTGGTTGCTGGTCGTAAGGCTATGCCTTATAAGTAGTTGTCTGCCCAGATTGCGTCCGTTTTTGATAATATGAATTCTTTAGATAGTTTTGTGTTGTCTGGTTTTGAGTGGGTTTTCTCAGATGATGATGAATTTTATTGGTTCGTGTGACGTGCAGCAGATTAGTGGTGTTTGGCTTGCAGCTGGATCGGCAGTAATTTTGCTTTATCTTTTTGCTTTCTGTCGGGATGATTGGTTTTGCTGTCGCGACCGGGAAGGGGGTTTGTCTCCGAATTTTACTGCATTTGCGAAAATTGGTGGTGCGCCTGTTGATAGTTTTGTTCTTGATGGTATTGAATGATATTGTGCTGGGGCTAATTGTGTTCTGCGGGCCAGAGGTTGAGTGGTGGCCAGCCTCCTGGTCATGATGGGATTCCGGGTGTGATGTTATCTAGGTGTGCTAGTGGCCTTGTTGGTCCTCTCATTTCTTTATTTACCTATCGTTGGTGTTTATTCCAAGAAAGTTAACTGGCGTGGGCTTTTCTCTCCGTAGCTTGATGTTGGTCTATTCTTATTTGACTTGCAGGTTTTATCAGGTTTCTTTCTGTTCTGCTCTGTCTTATATGTACTGTGCCGGGTCGGGTGTTCCGCAGGGTTGCCATTTGGGTCCCATACTTTTATAGCCGCGACTAACGAGGTCAATTGTCTATTGTTGCAGAGGGATTTGGATGGTTTATGGGATTGGTGTCGGGTAAACGGCCTGGAACTAAACGTTGGTAAGTGTCGGATCATGAGCTTTTCGCGGAGGAGAGATTCTTCTGTTGTCCGGAATGATTATTGCCTTATCGGTGTGATCTTGGGGTTATGCTTGATCGCAGGCTGGATTTTAGTGCTGATCCTTTTAGATTACCGCAGTAAGAGACAAGGTTGATGTTGATCGATTTGCAGTCCTTGAAGGCGCGTAGGGTTGTCGCTGACACAGTGTTTATCCATTTGCTCGTATCGGGGGACATTGTGGCTCCTTCTTTGTTAGGGCAGGTTTCTATTGGGTATAACGTAAGGAATCTTAGGTCTGTTAAGTTGTACAATGTTCGCTATCACTCTACTGATTATGGTAGGAATGAACCGGTCACTAGAATGTTGCGTTCTGTTCATTCTAATTCTTTGGTATTTAATCTTGCTATTAGTGATAGATCTAGACTTGTGTGTAATTTAAATTTGTAGTAATATTTGGGTTTTTTTTGTTCTTGTCTTTCTTTCTCGTCTTTATTTATCTATATTATCTATTTTGTTTTCTCTCATTTGTGCGTGTCTGGTGGTCTATGTTATTAATCTTTATAAATGATGATGCTGTTGCTTGGTAACTGATAGTTGCTTAGTTACGACTAAATGATGTTTTAATTGCGTCTATTAGCGATATGCTAAATGCTTGATCTAAGCTAATGGATGTCTGATATAATTTAAAGCTGTTGAAAATGGTTTAAAAACATTACTAGTGGGCGACAATATATTGACCATAATGTATATGTATATGTACGCTATATCTAGAAATAAATTCGATAAAAACTATATGTTTTTAATTTTAACTCACTCGTTTTTGCGTTGGTCATTATTGTTCCTTTGAATATTTGCTTTTAAAATATTTGCTTTTTCTTAAATTATTTTTTTTTTCACTTATTTTTATTTTTCATATAAATCACTCTTGCTTTACTATACATTATAGATATATGTACATATATATGTACTTCTATATAGACAAAAAAAGTGCATTTGACACCAGATTTGATCAAATAATACTGATATGTATGTATGTATGAAAAAATAAAATTTTTAATCCAATATCATAGTTGTCAAATTTAATCGTGAAACTTTGCTTGATTTGTAAACGGTGTCTTAGGAATCTTTATGAATTTTGACATGTTTTTGCTTTTAACTTCCATTGTAAAGCCAATAAAAGGTTCAAAAAGTTCAACCATATTTAAGCATTCTAATTTCAGAAAAATAAATTTTTTACTATATAAGGAGAATTACTATATAATTCGATTTTCGTATTTGCCGAAATGGCAAGGTAGTATCATTTAAGTTAATTAGTATTGCATTACAGTTTTCCCGAATACGAAAATCGTAATAAAAAGCAAGCAAGGCGGGCACTGTTGAACATTTTTAAGAACTATTTTTTTATTAAGAAAAATCAAAATTTTTATTCAAATACAACAAATTTTTGGAGAAAAAATTCTTATGGTTTACCTTCTTTAAAGATTTTGTCGTATACATAAAAGTATGCCATAGGAAAAAAATTATCATGATCAGCTGATGAGCATCAAATTTCATCTTAGATTAAATTGTAGATTTTAGACTAGTTTCTGACGGTTTTTGAAAATTGTCTACATGAACGTGAGCACATACATATGTATCTATACTAAAAGTAATACTTTTATACACATACATACATATATACGAGACATGTAAATATATATGTTTTTCGCTCATGGCTATAACAGCTAAAAAATTAGTGGGTATGGACATTAAAAGAATATTTAATAAGAAACTCATTACATATCTAAAGTACGTAAATTTATGAAATTTTTCTTCTGCTTTCCTGTTAAAATTTTTTTTATGAAATCGAAATAGGACAGGTTTTAAAAAAGTTGATATTTTTCGAGTTATGTTTATACATAGTTCATTATTTTAATTAAACTTCACATTATGGTCTTTTTTTCCGAAGGAAATTAAGAAGAGAGCTAACGGTATTAACCAAAAACACACAACCATGCATACATTGATACATAAGCACATACGAGTATATATGTATTATATACATCAAAATTCAATCAGCTGAAAATTTGATAATATGACCACAATTTTTTGCAAGATTTTGTTTGTAGTATCCAAGTCAAGTTTTGACATGCTTATTTTACAAAACCCATATAATTAATATGTACACTTTATATTTACACTAAGTCCTCGAGATACGACATCTTCTAATACGACATTTCGAGTTACGACATGATATAAATTTGGATCATTTTTATTCGGCTTACGACATTGTTCCTAATACGACTTTGAAAATTTAAAAAAAAAATTGTTTTTTTGACAGATTTTACTGTTTTTTGAATAAAAATCTATACCGAATTTAGTTATAAGACGAGACCAAAGCACATACTTCAACAATGAACTCTTTCTAGTTAAAAATTCTAGTTAGTAGTTAAGAATACGAATTGAAGTGATAAAATATCAACTTATTTAGATTTTATTTTATTTATTTTTGTTACATCATTGAATTTTTTTGATTTTGTTATTATATATTGTTGTTTTTTTTTCAAACTTTGTTACCTTTTTGTAAAAAAAAAGGTAAATTATTTTATAACATAGTTTGTCTAATTCACTTTTTGTTTCAATACATTTTTTTTCCTCCTCAAACGACAATTCGAGTTACGACATAAATTTCTGGAACCAAAAATGTCGTATCTCGAGGACTTAGTGTACATGCATATATGTATATGTACATACATATGTATGTACATATTTAAACAAAGCATAATTTATGTTTTTAAATCACTCACAAAATATTGTACATACGATATGCACATACTTATGTGCCTACATCCATACATACATACATATATGTATGTATGTATACTAAAAAAATATACGCGGTACGATATTTCCTTACATATTTAAACCAAGAGGTAACGAAACAATGTTGTTAACGTATTTTGACCAACATGTTCATTTTGCCAAAAATCAAAA